CTATGTTTAGTTTCTGATGATGGGCCAGGAGCCCGAACGCCATGTGATTTGCTAAATTGAATAAAGGTTTTCAACCACGGAGAACTTGGCATTTTTCAACCTATCAATAGAGATTAATTTTCTCGGATTTGGAACTTTTCTGGTGATTGTAAATTCCAAAATATCAGGCACGTATCCGCCACATCGCGCGAATAGGCCCGGGTTTCGAAAGAAAGATTTTTTTTTTGAGTTGAAATTTTCCGTTTTTTCATATTTTTATTTCGCCGTTCTACTTGCTCAAATCTACTATGTGAATATATGATTTTACAGTATTTTTTATGTAGATTGCAATAAAAATATACTAAAAGATATCAAATTTTATCAATAACCAAATTTTTAATTTTTATACCAATTTCTAAAAATCAAATATTTTTTAAGTAAACTAAGTAAATTTTTTTCATGGAACTAATATAAAATTTCGTTTTAGTGCTTTTATATAACCTTAAATATACATTTTTGTATGAATGAATTTATCGATTTTTTGAAGCCTAAAATATTTCCGATTTTAGAGAAGTCGTTATCGGAATATCCTATTGAAATGGCTTTAATTAAAAAAGGGCTAAAAGGATTTTAACGTCAAATATAACATTTGAAGAAGAAGAACGTAGCTTTTTAGCAACGTATGGTCCATCAAAATATTTAAAACATTTCTATAAGAAAATATACAAAATAGAAAAATTATTTGTCAGATATTAACCCCGTTTGTGTGTGTGACTGAGTATAAACTCATGCTGAAGTATAGTTTGTAACAATGACTATTTCTACCGTCAAATAGTTTGTTTCTGGTGGATTTTAAAAGGTAATCAACATGACAATTCATTTATTTGAGATTTTGCTTACATTTTAATTGTATGTTAATAACAGAAATAAATTACAACTATTGAATTTTTAAAACTCTTTACTGCCTTTTTATACTGAAATTGCGTTCAGCATAAAAAGTTAAATTCTGGTCCAGTCGCGTTCGTTCATTACTTTGTGGAATCTTACAATTTTCAAATATTCATAGCAGATTTAAATAAAAACAGGTAATTTAAAAAGTTTTCCGTTATTGTTTTTCCAATATTGATAAGTTTTTTTGAACCATTTTAATAGAGAAAATGACATTGCATATTCTACCTCTATGGATTCTAAATCTCGTAAAAGTAATTCAATCCACTTGAAAATGGTCATCCAACCAATCTAACGCGGTGAGAGAATAATGGGCTCATGCATATAAATTGGACCTTCCGAGAAGGTGACATCTGGAAAAGACGGAGGAATATTGAGGCGTTTTCATTCAAAATTGCATGACAAACAATTTAATAAATTTTACTTGATTTCATCGGGAAAAAAGCAGAAGTAAATTAACGCTTATTAGATATGCAGAAAATTTACTGCCAAATCATGCACTTGTTAGAGAATAAGGAAAAATGGATACTTGTAGAGTGTAAGATAAGCCTGTGCTTTTTCTATATATGTACGTATTAAAGGACTGGAAAAGTCAGTCAATCCTCAAAAATTAAGCATATTGCCACAGACCGGAATAAGTGGGAGTCTGAAGAAGTGAGGTCGGAAATGTCTGCTAGATTGAAGATTTTTTTTTGTGCACCAATTGCTTATTACCGGCACCTTGCGTTTTCTCCACCTCGCGTTTTTTATTCAGAAGGGGCTGGAGGGCCTGGCAATCTTTTATTTTTGATGGAACTTACGGGACTCTATTATCGTTCTAAATTCTAAGCTATTCAACTCGTACATTTATATATTGAGGCCTAACCAAAGTTTGGCGGTTCTCAGGGTACTGGATATTCTGCTTAGGCTCCGCCATCATTCAAGCTATTGAATAGGCACTCTCAACACGACCCACAAGAATGACACATCTACGTAGAAAACAAGCACTTTGAGCCCTGAAGATGATCTCAATAAAGATCGAAACGTTGGCACGATAAAAAAAAAGTTTTTCTAAAACCTACGTCACTCCAGACCGCATCTCATCTTCAAATAATCACTAATGAATACATTCACACTAATTGGAAACTTTCATATTATATGTACAATTAAAAATTTGGGGAGCACCGGGGAATTATGCCTGTGTCTCCTCCCCAATCACTACATAAAACCAACCTGGTTGGTGGATCCATGGGGTAGTGTATATTCCGCCCCAGAGCCACCTATACATACATAAACACTAATAAATACATTCATACAATATGTACAGATCAAATTTGGGGAGTCACTGGGGGTATTGGATCTCCTAATTCACTCACACAACCCTAAAAAACTAGCCTAATTTGGTGGGTCTGTGGGGTACTCGATGTTGTAAGTACATGTTTTACTGTTTATACACACAATCTTTCTCGAACAAAAACAAATATCAACAGCAACAAATATTACAACCGTTATTCAAAAGTACATTGATGAAACTATTCAACCAATCCAACCATACAATAGTTTATAAGAACGTTTTTCTCGTTTCTTACTGTGGCTTTCTTAATCGTTCAATTAGTCGTACGAATACACAATCATAAAAACTATTCAAAATTTGAAGTTTTTTTCAAGTCATTATGTTTAATGCACATAAACAAAAAATATATAATTATCAAATTGTGTAGTTTATGCAATTGAACATTTCATAGTTCTGCTAAACCTAATGTATAGTTTATATATTTATATTTATACAAATCAATTGAATTAGAACCAAAAAAGGCTTTAAAAATAACTTTAGTTTTTGTTGTGGTTGCATTTGAACTCAAATTTTAAGAAACTATTTTTCCAATTGATTTTTAGACAGTTCACGAATAGTATTTTATTTTGATTCCTGAACATAATTTTATAGTTAGAACGGACGTTACCATTGAAATCGCAACCACTTTATTCTAATTAATTGTAGACGTTAATTAAAAAAATGTTATAAACTACCGATAAGCATGTTGAACGCGACTTCACATTTGGGTCCGTCTACACTCGCGGGTTTTTGATGTTAATCAAACTTATTTCGGCTTTGTGTCATCTTCAGACAAGAACTGTGTAGAAACTAAGATATGGTAAAATATGTATTTATGCAAGGGTCACTACATGCTCAAAAAGCATAAAAGCTACAGGTGTATAGTTGTATAAATAAATACAGTACGCAATTACTTATAAGTACACCGGTTGTAGATATTCAAATACTAGATAAAATTAATTCCGGAATGGAAAAAAAAAGAAATGAATAACTAACCATAACGACCTAGAAAAAATATATTAATTATAAAACTTCCACAATAACAAAAATTGAGTTTTTGTTAATTATTATTTAACTGTTTTTTAATTGATATTAACATCTTTTTTTAATAGCTATAATTTTCTTTGTTGGTGAAAATTTGTCACAAATATTTTATGAAATTTGTACGGCAGTTAAAATCAACAAGTTGTACAGTTATATAAATGAATACAGTACGCAATCGAATTGTAGATAATACAGTCCGCTTGACCTCTAAAATTATGTTCTCGAATTAAAAAAATAAACGAATAACGAACTATAAACAAGAAAAAACATCAAATAATTATAAAAATTCTACAACAACAAAAATACAATAAACTAACGGTAGTTTTTCGAAATTACTTCATTGAAACTATTCAATCTTTGTGAAATTTGTTGACCTGCGGAATGATGAACCCGTGGTTTTGTTGTTCCTTAGTTTATATACATTAAACCTAAACATTTATAACAATATAAAAAAAACTTTTTTTTAAATTATTAAATTTACATTAATAAGGAAACGAACAAATTATTGAATAGATTCAACAAAATAGTTTTGAAAAATAAGTGTTCATATTTGTCCATGTTGAAATTTGTCATAAATCTTTTATTTTATTGTTTTTCCATTGATGTGATTTTACAGTTAGTAATGACATTATTACTACCAACCCAACTAGATATTGCATTTCGTATTACTTTATTATAGTTGTAAATTTAAGACTTGTGTTGGGGTTTTCGTAGTTGACGTATAAGTTTTGTCGTTCTTTGATAGTTTATATACTTTTTAACCTAAATATTTAAAACAAACGTCCAACAACTTAAAAAAAATTACTTGTTTTCCTATAAAAATTCTTACTGTAGAATAATGATTGAATTTAGACACTTGTAAAAAATTAAAGTTGAATATTTTCATCAACTAGTTACTGTATACTTCGTTATTGAACATAATGAATAAAAGGAATTTTATTTACAAATTTAATTATTTTGTTAAATTTATTTACATTTGTGTACTTGAGTTTTTAATTAGTAAGGAAGTAATTACTAATGTTAACCCGCTAGTACTCTCGATAACAAAAAAACTTCATTTCGCATTACGATTTTACACTTGTAAATTAATAGTACAAAGTTAGCATAAACAATGAGTTGGTTAAGTATTTTTATAATCATGACTGTATGAATTAGAATCCACAGTGCAAATGTATAATTTATCGAATTCTGAAGTTTCACACAAGCCATACAAAAAAATTGTCGTTATTGCTGACACTTGTACATATGTACGACAACATTTAATGTTACTATTGATTTTTCTCCGGGCTCAGTGTCACAACATAGAAACACGTCAATTTTCATCGGTAAGCATAATTTTCCCGAAAAGCTGGGAAACGTATAATTTTGATCGATACGAACATGACTAAGCGTTTTAACAAGGAAAGCTTTTCAGGGGGAAATTCGCAACAGAAATAAGTGACATTTCGGTTCATTGGCACGGCCGGACGGACAGTGCGATCCCACTCAATTTACGTCCCTGATTTAAAAAAAATTTCTTGATATTTGATGCTTATTTTTAAAGTTAACGACGTTGTGATACAAGAGGTTAACCTGGAAAATTGCAACCTCCCTTATAAACAGAATGTTTAAATCTTGGGTAATAATAGGTAATAAGCATTGTCGTTGTTTGATTTATATTTTCTAATTTAAAAGACGATTTTAGAAAAATTATGCTTGTGTCAAAGAGACGACTCACCTCTAGGAAACCCTTTGTTTATCCTTTTTGAATTTCATATCACTTCCGATCAAATTTTCCACTTTCTGTCCATTTTCCCGCGGATTACCGTCTGCCGGTCATTTCCATCGGGTACGAGAAAAGAATTGTGGACGAGAAAATTCACGATAAAACGGCTGACGGTGGATTCGCCGGTTCGGCAGATCTCGCGGGCCGCGAAGAAACGGCAAAAAAATGCGTAAGATTGACCAAACTTCTGAGTCAGGACGCGTACGTCCTTGTCTGTCGATGCGATAAAACGAGTTGAATCGACACGTTCTGCGATGAGCAAACGGACTGCGACTAAGCTCCGCACTCAAGCCAGTAACTCATACGTCTGCTCGATTGTGCGGATCAAATTCAAGTCTTGAGTTTGATACGGTGCCGGCAGATGGGAGGAACGAAGAACGCGCACGCGCCCCACACGCAACAGGGGGCGAAGTTCAAAAGCGCCTAGTTCGAGCCAATTTAAATTCAACCCACAAACGTCACCTCGTCCTTCCTTTTCTGATCTATCTATTCTCGCTGTTTTTCGTCCCTATAGTTACAGCCATAAAAATGAGACTCAAAAAGTAGAGAGAATTTGATCCAAGTCAAACTTGAATATTCAATTTAGACAAAGGTCCAATGCTTGTTGCAATAAAACTACATAGCCTTAGTCTTTTAAGTTAAATGAGGAGTACCACAAGGTTCCGTTTTAGATCCTATTCTATTCCTACACTTAATAAATGACCTGCCGTGTCCTCTATCTCATTACTTTTTACACTGATGTTGTACAACTACTTGTGCATTAGATTCAGCTGAATTGTTAGAGAAAATTGAATATGACTATTCCCAATCCTTACATACTTACACTCAGTGCTTACAAGACCTCTGTTTTTTTTTTCGATTAATTATTCTTTTTACAAAAGGTCTTGGTTGAAATGAAAAAGTTAGTGTCACAAGCGAGATTCGAACCCATGACCTTCGGCTCAATACGCCGCTGCTCGAACTATTTGAACTATCATGACTTCAATCCATTCGGACACCCACTCTCCATCTCAACCTTCAACTTTTCGAAATTTCCCTCATTGGATCGGAGCCACAATAGCTCAAGTAGTTAGAGCGACGGCATATTGAGCCGAAGATCGTGAGTTCGAATCCAGCTCGTGACACTGACTTTTTCATCTCAAACAAGATCTTTCATTATGATCAATTAATAAATAATAATCATTAATATATAATAATAATATATAAGGTAATAATTAATATATAAGGAATATTTTTTGAAATTGACTTCTAACAATATCATGGGGACCGCAGTAGCTAAGTGGTCAGAATGATAGACTATTAGTTTGTAGACTCTGCAGTCTTGGGTTCAATTCCCACCGTCACATCTGGCCGTTGTTTTCACACAAGCCTTCCCGCCCCCCAACTATACATGATGAAATAATCAATGGAATCATACTACGGTTAATAGGCAAGCTCATAAGGACATTAAAAAATAATAACAATAAAATAAATAATAATAGTAAAAAAATCTTTATATTTTTTATAATGTTTATAAAATACCCTTGTTCATAAAATCGTAATGTATTTTTCAAAAATAGTTTCTACCACTTTTATTAAACAAATTAACAAATTAAACAACAACAAAACAAACTAGGGGGGGGTCTTNATAAAAAAACTAGTGATTACTATAAGGAAATTGAACCTGACATCAAACAGCTCTCATTCGTGGACATAGATTTTTAACAATATACCAAATATTATTAGAAACAGTAAAACATACAAACATTTAGAAATTCTTTAAAGAACTTTCCAATTAATGAGTTTTATTGTTTAATTTCATTATGTGTATTTTCAATATTGCTCATCATATAAACTCAAAGAAAAAACCGGGCCCCTGTATTTTGTCATTTAGTTCACACTGTATGTGTATTTTTATAGTTATATATAATATATGTAATAATGTATTATATAGTTATTTATAATAATAATAGTAACAGCAATAAGTAATAATAACTTGTCTTCCTGCTGTTTTTCTATAACACCCAAGTCTCAATTTAAAAGAAGAAACCAATTTGGTCAACAGATCATTGTCCAAGATTACATGTTGATCAAATAGCAGTAATTTCTATTCATGAATTGTCTCTACCTGTTTTTCCATCACACAAATACTTACTTAAAAAAAATAAAATAAAATAAATGCAATTTGGTCTATTTCCCCTATGTTCCAAAATACCAGATGCTAAATGATAATTTGAAAATCTGAGATTAATAATACCACCTCTAAACACCAGTCATTTTGATGATGGGTGAATAACTCAAAAACCTGGGAATGGAGGCAGACCCTTGCTGCTTCATGACCAGTAATTTGTCCATAATTTGTATCTATCGTTCGTTCTCGCTGTTAAAACATTAGTTATTACAAAAATAAAATAATGCAACTAGGTCTTGACTCCAGTCAAACTTGAATATTCAATGTAGTACCAAGTTAACATTAATAACCTTTAAAAAAAAATCTATTAATTTTAGATGTTAAAGCAGAGTTTAACATGATGAACTTGTTCAGAAGTAAAATATTATACAAACACCGCATTCCAAAATTATTACATGCTGAATTATGAATGATTTGCCAAATCATGAAAATCCATGATTAATAATACCACATCTAATTTATTTAGTCAGCAATTTTTGTTGATGTTTCTATCGTTTTTTATTTATCAATTGTTGATTTTTCATCACCAAGTACCAATACACAGTTGAATAATCAACGTAAACAAAATTAATAATAGAAAAATGTTTACCTATGACTATTAATAGCACTATATGCAAAGTGTCCTAGTTAGTAAAAAACTACCGTACTATTCCATATTCAACATCCAAGATGTTGAATGATAATTTGAAAAATGATTATGAAAATTTAAGATACCCCTAAGTATACCATTGATTATTGTCTATGGTTTTATCAGCCAAAATGGTCTTTTCATGAAGTGCAATAATTATAAATTTGCTTCAGTGTTATTAAAGACTAATGTCTTAACTGCTTCTCACCCTTGATTACATTATTGGTGGTTTTTCTTTCTGAATTTGAAATTTGAAAAGTCAAAATCATGTTCTATACTTGAATAAATATGACTTTTAAAGTGAGGGAACAATTCTCAACAATATACCGGTGAATACCCTCTCGATGAATTTCATTAAAATTTCCACGACGTCAAAACTTAAAAAGCAGCAACTAGCATTCTCACATTTTAATCTACTGTTTATTGATTGTATTCAAAGAAGTTGAGTAAGCAATGAGAAATGTCAAAACCATTTGATAGTTTTAAAACGTATTTGACCAATTGTGCCTTACGCAATATCAACTCAGGACTGTTGAATAAGGAAAAAAATACTTGACCTTCACAAAAATTATATTTGATTAATACTGACAACTGTTACAATACTGATTTTAATATTTATAACATAAAAATCTAAGGAACATCATACAACGATGGAGCTCTTCCACAGTCTATTCACTCAGCCCTCTTTTATTTCATTTCCCTGTCAAAACAACAATATAAATGCCCTCTTAATAATAAAAGGCAATAAAAAAAATAATAATAAAGCAATTGATATCACATTTTTTAAATACTTCTTGTCATTTATAGTATTTTAAATAATAGGTGGACATCGATTTTTTTAAATTAAAAAAATACCATAATTAACCCGTACACATTTTAAAAATCACTCAAAGACAAAAACCAGGCACTTGTAAAAATTTTTATTTAAAATATTTGTATGTATTTTTATTTTTATATTAAAACATACTTATTTTATTGTAAATCAAATTAAATGAGATCAGAAATTCATGTGTTTTAATAAAAATTATTTTACGGATTGGGGACCGCGGTAGCCAAGTGGTTAGCATGGGAGACTCTCATGCCGCGGTCGTGGGTTCGATTCCCACCGTCGCCTCTGGCCCTTTTTTCCCGATAACCCACAATTTGAACAACATATATAAGAGATTCGTCATGGCTAATATGCAAAGATCATAAGGCCAATTATAAAAAAAATAAATAAATAAATAAAAATATTTTACGGATGATTGGTGGCTGCAACTGCGTTGACATAGCACACATCACTGTAAGGTAAAGGTCCCGGGTTTGAATCCAGCATCCCTGGATTCATGCATTCACCCATGCATACCCGACATACAAATGGGCATTTTCTTGGACACCCAAAGGATTGATATGACCTCTGCTCTTACAAACCCCCATTAAAAAATAAATAAATAATTAAATAAAAAAATAATATATTTAATTATGATGGTTTGAAAAACAATCACTAAAACACTGGGAAATATAGTTTTAAATAGACAACAAAGTACGAGTGAGTTGGTTTTTGTGTCTTCGATTGCATTTTAAAATGTGTATGTTTTAATTATAGTTTTACTTTTTTTAATTTAAAAATCAACGTCCACCTATTATTTATTATCTATAAACTGCGTAGTTCATATATTATGTATTTATTTAACTTTAACTTTAATTTAATTTATTGAAATTTAGTACTTTTCCAACTCCACACTGACTGAAAAATAATTTTTTCATACCCATTCTCTTGCCATGTTCATCAAAACTACAGACTTAATCCTTGGGCCTACGAGAGGGTTCATTTGTACCAAATATGTACAAATGTAGCTACAAAATAAAATTAAGGTTGTATTAGTTTTTATTTAATGTCAATACATATATAAATTCTATTACTTACATGAGCCAGCAACAGGCAGCCGTAAGAACCAACGACCATTGTATTATTCTGTGGAATATAGTAAATCAGAAAAAATGTGTAATTTAAAAAAAATTATGATTACCCTTTGTTTGGTCCTTTTGGTATAAAAAATGGTACCACTAAGCCGACAACGGCCCAAAAACCAGAGACGACAGCAAGCGGTATGACAGAGTAGCCCATTGTCTTAATATACTGAGTCAAAAAAAATAAATCTTAGCAAAAGATATCTTAAAGTTGAGGTGAAAAGATTAGATAAGAGGTATAAGTTTATCCTTAAAGTGTCAGCAAAATAACAAAAAATCTCATGAAATTATTGTCTCCCACAAGTTACACTTTTTAAAACTTTGTTTTAAAGTAAATGCCTAATAACCTTGCTTTTAATGAAACGCCCAGATTCAATGGCCAGGTATTACATAATACACGGTTGAAAAATGCAGGTGACTGGGTGGGGGAACAATCTGTCTAAGCAGTCAGGAGTTAAAACAAATATTGCCTTATCTTTAAATTTAAAAAGAGTTTTCTTTTGAAAATTCAAAAACAAAAATGTCCACCGATGATTGTATTTTATTTGAATGAATTTATCTGGCCATGAATCAATTTTTATATTCCCCCAGGTAATTTTATTCATACATTTAGCCACATAAGTTGCCCCTGTGGCATCGACACAATCAGAAAGTATCAATAATACTTATAATAAATTTAAATGTGCAGCAAATTTGGTTTTTAATAATTAAAAATAAATAAAACTTATTTGCCATTATGAAAGTTTTTTGCTTACAGTATGGACTGTTTAAAAATACCATTTCAGTAACAGTAAGATATATTTGTCTGACTAATAAATTATCTGAAATTACAAACCAACAACTTCTGGCAAAACTGAAACTATCAAGAACCAAATCATAGGATCTCCAACCAGGCCCGTTGCTTCACAGACCCGAACAAAAGCTGTCTTGTAAATTTTGTTAAATACTACATGTTTCCGAAATAATTCTGTAATGTGGAATTCCCAAATGTACCAAAACTGGTGTAAAATGTATCAAAGTGGTCGGAAATCCAAAAATAGCTTAGCTGCTGATTGACTCCTGGTCACCTTGGTCACGTATTGAGCCGCAATTCCAAACAAGACGAAAAATCAATTTACAAACTCCTAAGATCATCATGTTTCAGCATTAAACATATATACATCCAAAGTCTGGTATATGTATGAACAGACTTTTAGTTAATAATGAAATAACCAGACCTAAGGAAAACTGATTTACCGATTTATATACGCTCACATCTGCACACTCTTGTACATACACACATGTAATGAGTTGAGTCTGTCACGTCTCACAGTCTACCAGTAATTCCAGCTTTTGTACTTTAGAATGAATTACTGGCAGGCCTTGGGAATTCCAGGGTTGCATCTGGGTCAATAAAAATATTAAAAAATTTTGACAGCATAGAAGCATTGTCATTGGAAATTATCAGATTTTAGACATATAAATAACACTAAAATCAAATAGTTTATTGTCACAGCTATTTACAGAAAATACAACAACGAAAAATTAAGAAAAAAGTAAAAATAAAAACATTAATAAATCTATCGGACTGTTACACCAAGTAAGTTTGTTGATTTTTCTGAAATCTTTGTGTGAAGTTTGTTGACTTCTTTGTTGGTAAGGGTCCTTGAAATGTGGCGATATATTATTCGGTAACACTTGCTCCTTTTACCTGTTTTTGGATGTGTGAACTCATCAAAGAGGTATACCTTGAAACAAAAATATCAGTTTAAAATACATCCATTAAAAATATAAACTAATTAAAATTGATTGACCAATCTGAAATTTGTACAAAAACTAGATATGAGTGGTGAAAAATGTCTGAAATAACAATAATTTTATTTTAAAGCACGTTAAGCTAGGTCCAAAAACTGTTTCCCTTGCAGAGTTTTCCACTGTCTGTTAGTAAATAAGTACAGTATGCTTTTGTACATTAAATATTCAATTACTATACTTTCAGATATCAGCAGTGTTAGAAAAAGCCTATCCAGAAGTTCATCCTGTTTCCTTTTACATCCAAAAATTTATTCCTTTTTAATATTATATGAAGATTTTTAGATTGTCTACGTACCTAAAAATGTCTCTAATATGATTAATCCCACAGAAGGAATTAAACTTTCTTTTTTATACAGGCTATTACACAATTGTTATATCCAGTCTGCAGTTTAGCAGCTCTGTTTTATCCAAGGATTTGTTTGTTTCCTATTTTCTTGTTCAACTCAAAGGAGGATGTCTATTTTTCATTAATGTGTTTAGTTCATTTTTACAACATCAAGCTATTGACGTTTGAATTTGATGTCCAAAAGGCTTTTTGACTATCTGACAATTCATTTTAGTTCAGACAGGACACTCAATTAACTAATTCTCACTTTTTTTTATATAAAAAACATTTCCTACTTTGTTTAATTTATTTTTAAAAAATTAACCATTTTACAATCAAATAAAAACTAACACTAAGTTAATAACCAAAATGATTTGGCAATTTTTCCAGAAAAGGTGACAATGAACGTATAATGTTCTCTAATTATTTTATACCTGTTCAATCAGCTCGCCTCCTGCCTCTCGGACAAGTTCATGAAAATCGTTTGGTTCAAAGTTTTCCGGAATCCAGAAGCTGATATCCTTTGTGCACTGAGGGTAGATGCTGACTTGTTTGAACGTTATCTCTTCTGTGTGCGATTTTCCGGAAAACTGTGATGTGAATCCGGTATCCTTTGACCAGAACATTCTGATATCTGGAATTTTATAGAGGCACATTGCCAACCTTTCAAGCCCAAGCCCAAATGCCCATCCAATTCTACCTTCAGCGCCATCTTTAGAAAGAAAAAATTATTTAAGTAATCAATTGATATATTTATATTTAAAAATAAAATTACTTGTTTCTAAGATTTCATGTCTCATAATTCCACATCCAAGGACTTCCAGCCATTTCCCTTCGAACTGCACTTCAAGTTCCCAAGATGGGTGTGTAAATGGGAAAAAAACATCCACCCACCGACAAGGTATGTCTAAATTGTATAAATAAGTAGTCCAAATGTATATAAAATAAATAATATTATTTACAAATAATATCCAATAATTTAAAGTGCAATGCACAATATTAAAACGACTATTATAGTGTAGCTATTACTACTAATTAGAGGGAGAAAAATTGACCATTTAAATTCATTTTATATTTTCAACTGTTTATTTTCCATAAATTATATACAGCCCGTCATACTCACTAATTCCCATCTCTCCCAGATCTGCCACAATGATGTCTCAGGGTTCCATTAAAGATTGTTGCAAGCATTTGCCATTTTTTAATCTTTCAAACATATTTTGAAATTTCCTCTTGATTGTCTGTGGGTTTGGTCACAGAGTCGAAAATTGACTGACTGACCAAAATAGTGAGGATAAGGAGACCAAAAAGATCAGAATGACCAAACTATATATTCTGCTCACTACTCTATCCTACTCATCAAAGCCACACATCAAAAATTTTGTTTAAGTGGCCATACATTTTACTACATCAGTTAACATTGCAAAATAATCAAGTATAGAAAATAATTAATAAGATACCAATAAAATGTGAAGGCAGAGTTGAAAATTAAACCAAAAACATTCAGGAAAGTTAAAAACATCTGTAGTTTTATTTACCCTTTTAAATAGTATTTTGTGCTTGGTATTACGGTTTTTAGTTATGAAGTAGGAAATAATATAACAAAAATACAAAACTTTATATTTACCTTTTCCAAACAAGCTTTGAGCTAAACCGACTAAAGTAGTTTTCAGCTCATTCTCCATTATTTTAGTGGCATCGATTGTGTACACCGCTTGTTTCTCTTCAGTTTCTTTGCCACCTTTGCCCTCAAAAATTTCCACATGCCCATTCGCAAGTGTTTCCAGCTACAAGAAATGTGTACAAAGTGATTTGTTTTTGTTTCATATTGTTTGAACAAGATTGGGACATCAACCTGGGCATTGCTGCACAAACGGACGGCGTCGGCTTGATGAAAAACCGGGTAGTGTGTAGTGTCAATTTCATCCCTGCGGTAGACATCACCAAACAAGAGGAAATTGTCAAGTCCCGATTTAAGCATTTCTGACTGGTGGGCTGTCATGTGGGCTCTCAACAAGTAGTTCCTGCAAAGCAAAATAATTTTTTTTAGTTACAAAAATGAAGAATTAAATATTTTTCTTTACTTATTTATATAGTAACAGTCGGTCTTCCTTCTACTCGGATGATCTTGCGAGATCAGCAACGAATCGAAATTCTGATATACAGATACAGCTGGGTAGATATCATCGTAAAAGGAAAACACCGGATTTCCAGTCCTCCCTTTGAACGTACTGTAAAAGTAATCGACAATCCTTTTTTTGAGAAAGCACAAAGGATGCGACTCGGAGTTGTGCAGATTGTGACCGATGTGATATAGGATCTTTGGAGTCACGTTTGTAAAATCATCCTGCTCGTACTGCAACCCATTCAGAGAAAGTGAATTTTTCTGCAACTCTGTAGAAAATACTCGGCCCACCGACGTCAAGCTTGGATTGAACTTTGCGCATAGTGTTAAGTTCCGTACACCCGATTGATAAATACTATTGACCTGGTGGGAATTAATTAGTATTCATTTGGGAAATAACGCTCTTTTCTAATTTACAAAACTTACAAATTGTCTAACAACCATTTCGTAGGTAATTAAATACGCTACAGCTCATGAACTACATTTAAAATGTTATATTGAGCTTTATTTAGTTCATAACATGAGGTCATGAGCACCAGGTAGGTTACACATTTGTTACTGATAAGATAATTAATAACGCTTTTTACATATTTAGGGTTAAACACTATTAACTTTTATAATATTAATGAGTTTTAATCCATTTTAATATAATAATTTTATTCCTTTGTACACATAAATGAAACAAAACTAAATAAAATTAATAATACCATTTAAAAAATAGTTTTTAAAATTCTTATTAATATGTACCAAAATAGTTCATTTTTACTGCTTTTAATTTTTTAATGATCCTTGTTCTTTGATAATGTATGTACATATGTATTTTTTAGTAAGGCTGACCAAATATAAATGTAAAACGTGCTTAAAAAAAGAAATAAGTAATTAAATAAAATAATTTAAAATTGATTAAATTATTAAAGTATTATGTTATTATGTTATTTTATTATATTTGTTAGTGAAATTATTTGTATGGAAGGAGAGGTTTTTAAATTTTTTAAAACTTCTTACAATTAATGACGTCACGGTATGCTTTTTGTTTACTGTTGGGTTACTGAACTGTTAACGCAGTGTTTACTGTTTACTGTAGTGTTTTCACTTTTCATGATTAACTTTTTCCATGCCGGCTTGGCGTTTTTGAATGTTTGGATTGGATTATGTTTTTACGCAGTTAATAATTAAACATTCAGCTAGAATATGCTTAATTGTCCATCTAAAAAAAATTGACCCGTGTGATTTGAAAGGACGTTTACTGTAATAACAGTCGTACAAAGTTGTGTCTGAAAATTTGGTCAAAATGGTCTACTCGAGATTAACGGAGTTTCAGAGTTATTTCAAAACTCATGACAAAATTAAGGAATACCAGGGCCACTCGGCGAAGGTCCATTCTGTCGGTTGGAGTTGCGACGGTTCAAGACTGGCCTCCGGCTCATTCGACAAAGCTGTTGTCGTATTCACTCTGGATAGGGAAAAATTGGTAACAACATTTCAGCTATCTGCTTTTAATTTACTTACTTTTAAACTCATTGCATTTTAGACCAAGGAGCATACTTTCAGAGGGCACGGAGGTTCTGTCGACCAGCTGTGTTGGCACTCGCAGAACGCGGATTTGCTCGCGACTGCTTCGGGTGATAAGAGTGTTCGAGTTTGGGACGTGAGAACGCAAAAATGTGTCTCGACAATTAACACCAAAGGTATTATACCCCTTTTTCATTACAAAAAAAGGGTTAAAATAAATTTAAAAGTATTAATCCACATATGTATTTAGTTGTCATAATTGAACGCATTATTTTTTTTAATTTATACCTTTTATCTAAGCTGTTGGTGGTCACAACAGGACACTAGGTTTTTCATCTCAATCAAGAACTTAGTTAAAATAAATAATTGGGAAGTACTATGTAACATTGGTGAGAGAGGAGGAAAGCCAGCGAAAAGGAAGCAGTCAAGTCAGGACCAAAGTTGTTTATATGTAAACGAGGGTTGGTTTTTTACAAGAAAAAAAAGAAGAAAAGGAAATGGGGGAAATACAGCAGATGTGTGGAGCACTGGCAGAGAGCGGACGAGGGGAGCGATAAGGAGGCAACAACAGTAGGCAAGGTCGATCTGGCAGTCAAGAAGCTAGGATTCGTACCCAGTAATCTTTTAAAAGCACTAAGTCTAAATGGTTGCGGCCACTGATACCTCTCCATTTTTTATATTTTATTTTATTTATTAATTTTTTTAAACGAGGGTTCACAACAGAGGTCATATCAACCCTCGGAGTGCTGGTGTTTTTGAAAAAAGCCCATTTGTAAGTTTGTTGGGTTCAATGCAGGGCCACTGGAATCAAGCCTGGGAACTCTACCTTACAGAGATGAGCACCTCGTCAACGCCTAAACCAATTCAGCCGCCAATGCTCCTTAATATTTCCTTAATTTCCATAACTATACTTTTTTACAAAAAATTACTTTTGCCTAACTAAAATCATAATTGTTAATTAACTTATTTACATACAATGCCAACGTATTTCCCTTTTTAGGCAGGAAAGTTTATAGAAAATTTATTTCAACTACTTCATTCAATTTCAATTTTGAAAACAGATCACTTTTTCTTTCCTCCCCTGTTTCATTCATAAATTAATTTAAAGGATTGATGATTGAATAAACAAAATGGAGCAAAAATCAATAACATTATCTAAAAAAAAAATGCTTTGAATTTTGGATCTAATCTTTGGTTTTGTAGATAAACCTGTGTGTTTGAATTAAATTAAAAAATAGATTATTGAACTTTTTTGCTTTTTGTTTTTTTATACAATTTTTTATGTAAATATAAAAACCTTTTAATATAATTATTATTTCTAATTGGATCGTCTTTAATCTCTTATCAGTTTTAAATTTTGCAATTTTCAACCTTCAGTGGTGCATTTTTGTGTCTGACTAAAAATAAAACATCAACTCATACTCATGGGAATTAGGCACGCTGATTAAAGATGATCTAACTTGTGGTTGAACTCCTCATTATTTTCATTAGTGTCAATAAGTTTAATTTTTATTCTTTTTTAAGGAGAAAATATTAATATCACCTGGTCTAACAATGGATCAACAATTGCTGTTGGAAACAAAGAAGATTTGATATCCTTTATAGACACTCGAATGTTTAAGATTAGGGTTGAAAGACAGTTTAGTTTTGAAGTGAATGAAATATCATGGAATTTAAATACCACTTTGTTCTTTCTAACAAGTGGCCAAGGATCCATTCATGTCCTTAGGTTAGTTTATTTTCTTTAAAGTTAAACTATCAATCAAGAAAATATTCTATTTGAAATATAGTTTTCCAGAGTTAAAATCTTTACACGTGACAAAAGCTCACGCTGGAACTTGCATCTCGATTGAAATGGATCCAAAAGGTCGATATTTTGCCACTGGCTCTGCTGATGCATTGGTCTCACTTTGGGATGTGAAAGACATCGCTTGTGTTCGAGTATTTACAAGGTACAAAACAAACAAAAAACAAAATTTCCAAACTAATATATTTTATTAATTTTATCCAGGTTAGATTGGCCTGTAAGGACATTGAGCTTTTCCCATGACGGAGCTCTTCTCGCATCAGCCAGTGAGGATTTATTTATTGATGTTTCGGAAGTTGAAACAGGCCTTCACGTCACAGACATCCCAGTCGAAGCGCCCACATTCACTGTTGCCTGGCATCCAAAGCAATATTTGCTGGCTTACGCATGTGACGATAAAGAATCGTACGATAGAAACCGAGATACTGGAAGTTTGAAACTATTCGGTTTCCCATCAGAAACAAATGCAACATAATGGAGTTTTATTGTTTTCAATTTAATTCTAAACGAATTATTGATAATTTGTATATATTTTGTACTTTTCAATACTGAATATTAATAAAAAATTTTAATGTCTTTTGTTAGTTTATTACTATCAATGAATCCAAAGTATTATTAGGCATTAAAAACTGTTTTTATTCAGTAATTGATCCTAATGGCGTTAACAAGGTAGTCAGTTTAGCAGATACAGTGATTTGGTATACAGATGACAACAAAACAAATGAAGGAACTGGATCAGGAGTTTTCTGCCCAAAATTTGAATGATCAAATTTATAAGGGAAATTAATCAAACTCATTCTTTGAAGCTGAAATACATGCCAATGATGCTTGTGCCTTAGAAAATCTTAAAAGTGGTTATACAGACAAAAAAATCCTCATATGATCAGGTAGCCAAAGAGCTATTAAAGCATAAGCATGTAAAAGTCAGTGAATGCATACAAAATCTCCAAACCCTGGGGAAAGACAACCTGTTGATATACCAGGGTACCAGGACACGGGAATTTCTGGTAATAAAATGGAACACTAGTCAGAAAATGTACAATGTAATCTGCAAAAAATTAAAATAAATTGTGTGTTATTTATTTTTGAAGTTGACTTTCAAACTTAGACTTCTCCAGCTCATGACGATGTAAATTACCATAGTGCTGTTTTCTTATATTGAACTTCCAACTCAATCTCTACAATTAAATTTTGCCATTCATACATGCGTGTATTTTTTACATTTGGAAACTTAAATTATGAAATTTTAAATCCTTTATTGAAGGCTTTCTAAAAATTTCCTTTCACATTAAAAAAAAAAAAAAAAGATAAAATATCTAAATGATTAAAATGACTAATAGTAGTGGTTTTTATTTATGTTCCTAAATAGGTACAATCATAGCAGGTACTCTGCGTAATTCTCCTTATCTTTTCTTTCTTTTATTAAAATGACTGATCCTTGAAAGTGTAAAAGAAAATATAGATGATTGTTGAAATAAACAGAGATTATTGGGTATAAATTGTGTTGATTTGATGGTCATATTAACTCATTTTTTGATTCAATAATACTTTAGGAAAACAGCTCATTTCGTCAAAGAAAAATAAATGTTTTAATTATAAATTAAAATCACAATTTTTTATCTTATACATCACATCTAAAATATAAAGTGAAACTGTAACTCTAAAGTAGAAGCTTCTAAAAAATATTCAAGCAAATTCTGCTTTAAACTGAACGCCAGCTTCCGGCCCGCAGATAACTCCTTCTGTACGCTGAACATTTGAGATCCAGTCGGCCAAGTTGAAGCGTCTTCTTTCTTGTTGAGTCAACTTGGTCTTGAGACGTAGAGCCGGATCGCTGTGCTTAAATGCAAGGAACATGTAACGATGAAGACCAGTATGAGCTGGAGGTGCAGGCCCAATGTATTCTGAAAAATTAAACAAGTCGTTTTATAAATATGATCTTATCTCTTGAATTCAAACTGTTCTCTCAAGCTAGTCCTTTTCGGTAAGTTAGTAGGTTTCAGGAAAAAGCAAATAAAAAGTAGTAGGGTTCTAGTATAGTCTATGACAAATTCAGAAATAATTAGTGGTGTTGTCTTTTCAGATTCACACCCAAATTTTAACAACTTCCAAACCAATCATTTTAAATATTTCAACTGTTTAACAAACAAAGGGAGGACCAGGTTGGTGGGTCATGGATTTGGGCTAAACACTTTTTTTTGTGATTCTACACTCCAAAATATCAGACACATATATGCCATTTCTGGTGAATAGGCCCTGGTTCAAAAAAAAATTGAAAGTGAAATTTTCTGTTTTTAATATTTTTATTTCGCCATTTTACTTGCTCAAATGAATTATGTGAATATATCATTAATTACAATAGAAATCATACAATAGAAATCATCATAGATTACAATAAAAATATAGCAAAAGGTATAAAAATTTATCAATAACCAAAAAATTTCTAAAAACCAAATATTTTTCAAGTAAACTAACTTATATTTTATTTTATTTATTTATTTTGTAAAACTAATATGAAATTTCGTTTTAGTACTTCTAGAAACCCCTAAATATAAATTTGTCAATTTTTTGACCCCTAAAATCTTTCCGATTTTTAAGAAGTTGGAACAGCCGATTGAAACGGAAATAATTTAAAGACGGCTAAAAGGATTTTAACGTTCAACATACCATTTGAAAGAAGAGGAACATAGCTTTTTATTGATGCTATAAAATACTTCAATAAAATTTTTGTTTAATTTTTTGACTGATAATTTTGACCTTCTGCATGACCGACATTCCTAGTGCAAGTTCTAACAATCATTTTTCTCAAAACCTAGGAAACTTATTTTTATGGTCGATAATTCGGTTTAAACAAATTGTCAAATGCATTTTATAACTGCATAAAACATTAAAATCGGACTATATTTCTATTTAAAAAATTAGGTTATTTTCTGACAAATAATTTTCCTTTTTTTGTGTATTTTCTTATAGAAAATTTTTATATATTTTTATGGTAAACATTGTTAAAAAGCTATGTTTCTCTTATTTCAAATGATCTCTTTGACATTAAAATCCTTTTAGCCGTTTTTGAATTATAGCCATTTCAATAAGATATTCCGATGACTTCTCAAAAATAGGAAAATTTTAGGCATCGAAAAATTAATAAATTTAAATTCAAACAAAAATGTATATTTATGTATAAAGTGTTCCACATTGTTACATTGGAGATAATCAGGAATGTTCAGGTAGTATGTTATACCTCACTGGAAACAAAAAGACTGTTCCTTTGATTTAAAGGCTGGTCCTCTTCGTCCTTTAAGCCTGATAAAATCCTCCCACTATTTACAAACATACAATCCTCACAACATTCTCGCCAATAAATACATTCACTCTCAACACAACCTAGTGACACAAAAATATCAGTGTTATATACAATAAAACAACCCTGTTTCCTCCAAGAATCGAAACAGTGGACCGGATACTTGCTGTAATGCTCATGCACAATTTTCATACGGGGCGAGATTCCTACACACTCTCTATATGGAGCCAAGGAATTGCAGTCAATCAATTAATGGGGCACATCAAAAATCCTTTCTCCAAAATAGACAGAAAAAATTCAACATGTATTTTAGTTACTATTTAATTATTGATAGGTTGATGCATAACATATTTGAGAAACCTGAGGATATTAATGTCACCAATTCGATCATTTTAAACAATTATTTTGGTCTTAAATTTTAATTATACTATCTTAAAAAAAAAAAAATGCTGGTCATTTGCTTAATTTAAAAACAAATATCTTACCAATAAGATCTTCTCCGTTTGATGTGTTTCCTTCTGCCAAGTCATTTCCCTGTAAATAGATAATTAATAATAATTATGTATTTTCTGAATAAGAAGATTTGCAGCATACTGGGATATTAGCTCTGATCCAATGAAGATAGTAATGCCCCTTCGGATGATTTGGCGCATCTGGATCTATGCAGATAACTGTATATGTTTGATCCTGAAAAAAAAAATCGATTGACAATTCTTTCCTTATAATACAAATGTAGGTTGCGACAAATTGAAAATTCAGTTAATATTTCTGCCAAACAAATTTGGATTTAAAGTAATGAAGATAAACGTGTAAAAATATACAAAGAAAATCCCCTTTATCTCTAATGGCATAATCGAAATGACAATTCTTCTTTTCTTTTGATTGTTTGACAGAAAATTAGATACTAAATCCATGAAAGTAATGAACCGATTGGACGGAAAAAGCTTTGATCTCATCAAATTGTACACGGTTGAAACAAGGCTGAAACGGAATTTTTATCTAGCCAGTTGTAATTTTCCCGGCTCAATTGATTTATTCACTTTGCATATTGCAAAATGTGTAAAGGAACGTCCAAATTGTTACTTTCTCACATGTCGAAAGTGAAAGAGAAAGCCGTTTGTGTGAAGATTAAAGTGAAATTTGTAGCGAAAATTGGCCTCGATTTGATTTATAACACCAGGGGAAAAATCAATTTCCCCCACGATTTAATACATTATGTATTTTTATAAAATACACTTTAAATACGGCCTTACATTTAACTAGCTATACCCTAAACCAAGAAGGATTGTAAAATAATGAATCGAACGACGCGATTTTCTGAAAAAGTCGGAGAAATTTATTTTATGATTATTTATTTATTTATATGAGTAAATGGCGAAAATGTCGACAAACGCTCAACACAATAACAAACACTATAACTACAAGTGTATAAAATTTTCAAATAAAATCCTAGTAAATTATAATTTACAATTAAAATAATATAATGACTTTGGTGTTGTAACCAAATTTCACAAGAAAATTCTAATTAAAATGTCCTAAACGAATGAAAAAAACAAAAAGGGAATTTTTGATTGAAAATGACAATCACGGATCGATTTGAAAACCAAAAGTGATTTTGAGTCGATGATGTTTGAAGGCAGATTATTCCAATTTTAAACAACGCTGTTTTCATGCTATAGTAACCGTGATCATAGGTTTTACAAACGATCTCTTCTGTTAATCTTCCCATTGTAAAAGAAAAAAAATCGTCTCAAGTGCAAAAGCGTATTGAGCCGAAAGTCGTGGGTTCGAATCCAGCTCGTAACATAGGCTTTTTCATCTCAAGACATTAGATTAAAAGTATAGTTAATTAAAAAATCAATCATGACAAACAAATGAAAGTAATTAATCTGTTTGATTTAGATAAATGGGCTGTTTTTGAAGAATTTAGTAATAAAACATAATAAATTATTCAAATTTAGTATTTGTTTGTAAATAATGGCATTGAGTTATTTTCGATAATGACATTACGATTATGCGGCATATCCTCACTTAATTTAGTATCACTGCTATTGACAAATAATGTCAATTTGCGAAGGGATGTTTGCTTTTTGACTTATTAATTTTTCAAAACGTCTGACGAACTCCATAAATAATCACTTTAATGTTAAGATTAAATTAAGATATGTTTCTGGTTTAGCCGTGTTACCATGTTGCCAGAAAAATATGGGTATACAATTGGTATTAACTTGCTATTACTTGTTTGGTTTTCTCAACAACTACTAAAACGGGAGAAAAATTGTAAAAAGTTTTTTTTTGTTAACCATAAGCTATACTTTAAAACATTGTATTATATAGTTTTGCCTCAATATCTTAAAAAAGTAAAAGAAAAATATTGATATCAAATGATAAGTTTCATTTTCATTTGCAAATTCAAGTTCAATAGAATTGATCAAAATTGACGAAAACTAATTGAAAGTCAGTTCAGAAAAAACCTTTGAAACTTCACCATTGTTTTTATGTGAAAAATGAATTTTTGCTTAGATTTGTTTTTAACACCAAACATATGGACTGTTAAATTCATTATATTTAGTGGTCTATTGGCCAAATTACTTCTTCCAATTAATTAATCTTTTTATGTAAGGGTTTGGTTGATATTTGCTCTACCGCTTGTGCTGTGGTGACGAGAGCAACGGCTAATATTTAGCCGAAGGTCGTGGGTTCGAATCCCGCTCGTGGCACTAATTTGGACTATTTTTAAATGTATATAATAATATCCATCTCTCTCACTCTCTCTCTCTCTTTCCCCTCTTCCGAATTGATCAACAATGACGAGAACTATTTGAAAATCAGTTCAGAAAAACGTTAGATATGTTTTCATCATTGTTTTCAAGCAAAAATGAATTTTTTTCCCACTATTTGGTTTATATCACAATACTTAGACTATTTCCTTTGCGGCTTTAAAAAATAGAGCTTATGATAATTTTATGCCCATAAAAAACGTAGAGGAAATAAGATATCACGGGGCCGAGGCCCGGTCTCAACCAGAACCTGACTTTTCTGCGATCAAAGATCAATTTTCAACCAGATCAGGTTACTGCATCTCGAATGAAAGCAAAAACTTTGAACAATTATTTTAAATAAAGGTAATCCATTTTTCATTTTTTATTAAAAAGTCTCGGCGGTGGTTTTAGACTATTCATAATGAAATAATTTAAAATAAGTATTTTTTATATTTTATAAATCTCCCTCTCCCTCTCCCTCTCCCTCTCTCTCTCTCTCTCTCTCCCTCTCTCTCCCTCTCTCTCCCTCTCTCTCCCTCTCTCTCNTGTTTTTTTATGATATAACCGGAACCAATTCTTCTCTTTGTCCTGTTGTTCCTTTCTGTAGGTTAGGGCCTCATCAATTGTAGTTAAAGTAACACCAATACATACAAGCACAAAAGCAAAATGAAAAATGAAAGTCTGTTTAGCAATCACACTCCCCCAGAGCATTCGATATTCCTCGGGATGACTGGGGATGTGCCCCTCCATTCACGCTAATAAATTACATTCACACACCACAAATCATTGACACTACCCCAGAGTATTCGATATTCCCCGGGGTAGTGAATGTAATTGGGGATAAGCCCTTCCATTCACGTAAATGAACAAATTCGTTAAAATAAATAACACATATCACATATATGAAGGTACAATTAAAAATATTTATGGCCCTGAGATATTGGAACTGTCATCTGTACCTGCTGCCAAGCCTGTGCATAGGTTATTGGGGATGTCGTATTTCTTTCTTTAAGAATTAGTTCTTTGGAGTTGGTTGTCTCCCTCCACCCCCATTAGGTGTCCGTTTGTGATCTTCCTAAGGTCCTACGCGCAACCTGGTATGACTTTTTCTTTTATACCCTGCCCCCGCAGGAAAGGGGCCGATGTCATGTAGTGCTTTCTATTCTTGCAGTACAAATTTGAAAAACGTTTTGTAGAATGTAACTTCCGAAATGTAAAAATAAAAACGATTAAAAATTAACTGCTACCTAAAAACTTAAAACTGTTTGACCTTATTTACCTTCTTTAAAAAAATATATGCTACTTTTTCTTATCGTAAGGTTGATGAACGGGAAGGACTAGTTTTTATTTTATTTTTCTAATTTAATATCAAAACCTGTTTTGTTTAAGCTCCTTTCTTTATTTTACATATATGAATAATATTATTTGTATACTTAAAAAAACAAATCTGCGCTTTATTCTTTTAAATAAACCTACAGATTTCTTTTACATTCAAATCCTATTGACGATGTATCAAATCAAAAATACAGAATCGCTAAAAATATTAAATAAAGAAGCGTGTGTATTTATATATTTTGAAAAGGTTGATGTTCCAGTCCCACGAAATACACTAAAATGCTATTCAAATTTAACGTATATCTCGTTAAAATTAGTTTTTGTACTCATTTCAGTCATGTTTGCGCGATGTGCAACAAGGCGGAAAATGTGAAGTGCCTCCTTGGATTTTTTATTACAACCAGAAATTTTATCCAAAGAATAATTAAAGCCTGTCCATCGTTTCTCTCAATTAAACACGTCCGCCGCCCTTGGGCTTTATTTTCTTTTTACTTGATACTTTCCCATTTTGCACCCGAGACGGACGTTGCAGCAGTAACAGCATATGCAAAAAAATGAATCGCCGTATTATTTATGAAGTCCATAATTGATTCTATAATTCAGGAAAATTTAAAACTCAGAATTGAAATTTTGCAATTGTGTTAAGACAAATTTTCAAATTATTAATTCAAATATGTAATTAGATTTAGAAAAACAACCAATAGAGTTTATTTGGAGATTGTCTTGAAGTCGTACTTGGCTTGTTGGATGAGATGGAATGTTGCATGAGAGCTAATCTAACATAATAAAATTTTGAATAAAAAGACTAATTTCTGTACCCCAAAACTTCTGTAGTTGAAGCCCATAAAAGATTTTGAAAATGCATTTTCAGAATTTTATATGGACCTGGGTGTTGTTTATCAAATTCCCAGTGATAAAATGGAAAGAAAAAATGTTTGAAAAAGGAAATATTGCCCAATCTATTCAGAGAGGCTAAGTAGAAACTTAATAGGAACAGCTTGAACATTTTTGAAAATTGGTAAGTAAATTATAGTTGATAAAGCATTGTAATTGTAAACAGGGTTTTGTTGAATATATAAATTATGATAATCAGTGATCAGTCTTCAAAAAGTATATTTGCATGTTAAAAACGATCATGGATGTGACCAATTACAAAGAAACCCCCTCAGTTCCTTAGACGAGCTTTCGGGTTCATCTCCTTCATCAGAACTTAAACATTTTAATTATTTTATTTAATAGGTTAAATATTCATAATTTGATTAATTCAACCTGACTTCCTCACTTCAACCTTTTCTTGAAAGAATAATCACTTGCGATTATTTTTGACAATTGCATATGACATCGACGAAAGACCAGGACACATGCCAAAACCAAATTTACACCCCCCCCCCCAAAAAAAAAAGATTGATGGTGATCGTATGGTCGATGGCTGGAACTTTTCCGTACTCCCTTTTGCCTAGTGGTGAGACCTTTACATCGTACTGGACGGAAATTGACGAAATGCATAAAACATTATTCAAAAAACATCCTGCATTGGTAAATCGGAAAGGTCTTATACTCCTTCACAACGCAGGACCTCATGTTTCAAAACATACTGTAAACAAATTGAAAGAGCTTGGCTATAAAGTTCCTCAGCATCCACCTTATTCTCCACACTTGTCTCCAACAGATTTTCACCTGTTTAGGAATTTGGACAACTTAGTCAAAGGGAAAATGTTTCAAAAAGATGTTCAAGTCCAAAAAGGGGTTTCAGATTTTGTTTCATTTCAAAGCTCAGAATTCTTCAGTTCCGGCATAAATAAGTTGGTCACGCGTTGGGAAAATGAAGATAAATATTTCGAATAAATGATTATTTGCAGATCGTGAGATGGGGTCTGGTGTGACGTAGGTTTTAGAAAAACATTTTCTTTATCGTACCAAAGTTTCGATCTTTATTGAGATCGTCTTCAGGCCCTGGGATTTATAAACATTGTTTAAATCCCAGGCTCTGAAGATGATCTCAATGAAGATCGAAACGTTGGCACGACTAAGAAAATGTTTTTCTAAAACTTACGTCACACCAGACCGCACTTCACGTTCTCTAAATAATCATTAACTAACGGTCACTAAACACCACACATTTCGAATAAAATTATTTTGTTTTATATAGTAATTTTACTAAAAAACCTTTACCTTGGAAACGGATATTTCATATGAAACAACCCAATAAAATGATGCTTTCGTGTTTAGTATATTAGAAATTTACACTATGTGATCTCTTATCGAAATATCTTTCTTATGGCGTTTTTACCAAGTCAGACTATTTAATATAAATAAAGTAGTTTAACTCTTCTAGGAAAACGCTGAATTATCAATTTCTATTTTGATGCCGTAGGTAATAAAATGATGCATTCGTGTTTATCGTTATGGGCTATTTCATTAGTCAAGCTGGTTTTATGTTGAAAGAAAAATAAATTACCTGTTCTGCATTCGGAAACGTTACTTTCGGCAAATATGCGAATTGTTGTTTTTTGTAAACGCTGTCGCAGTTATCGTCGGACACCTTGATAATCTCATCTTTGGTCAGGACGAGACCTCCGATTTGGCAGGTGGTCTCGAAGTCGGTTTTCACGGAGCATTGTTCGCCGAAGGCGAGGGCGAGGAACAAGGAGAACACGAACGGCCTGACCATCGTCATCTTCAACACTGAAGAAGTAGCGGATGCTTTTATAGCGGTTCTTGCTTGTCTGAGGTGGGGAGTTCGACTTCGTTTCAACCACTGTTCAAGTCCCGGCGACCACGCCCAGCGATTCTTCGCCTCTTCTCTGACTTTTTATTGATTTTGAACAGATGATAAAAAAACATAACTACTGCGAGAATTTTTCGTGGGATCTGCGAGTTAATGTACCTATAGTTTGTCGTTTTCGTTCGTTTCGGAATGTGCATCATCTCTCGGTTTTCTCTAATACGTCTTTAGGCTTCACGCCATCATCATTTCTGATTCTGTGTAACAATAACAACTGTTGATGATGGGTTGTGATCTGCGAGTTGGTGAACTCATGTGAAACCAGGGTCACTTACTGGATCTGTCTCTCTCCATTTTTTTTTTCTAGTTATTCACACGCGTTTCGGCATTGTGCCATCTTCAGTGAGGAACTGTTCTTCACTAAGATGGCGCAATGCCGAAACGCGTTTGAATAGGTCAAATAAACCGCCGGTTCTGTATGAATAACAACTGTACAATTAAAAAGTAACACAAATAATAATCCTCCTAATGTGGCACCATTTAAAACAAAATTGAACCCAGCACTGAAGATGTCCAGAAGCCGAAACAGAGAGCGTTTGAGAGGCTAAAACAGCGAAGATAGGCAGACTAAAATGATCGGAAAAAGAACCAAACTATTATAAATGTTATATGAAATTTTGTTTAATTTTAATTTTATTACAAAAAAAATTGTAGTAGAAAAACTACAGCATTCAATTAAAAAAATATCGCATTGTTTCAGTAAATTGTTGTTGAAACATTCGCACCTCAGTCACAATAATACACTGATAGACAAATTTAACGCACCACTAAATTTATTTAGGTTAAATTTAAATCCATTATTTTTTTACATTAGTTACAGGTAATTAGGAGCTAACTTAGTCAAAATAACCTGTAAATAATGCTTGGTTTACTTCCTTTATTTATTTTTGTACTGATTAATCCCATTTGCACAAAAATTAACGTTATTCCCTTCCTGTCTGTTATGCAAAAAAAATCCCTTTCAGTAAATATTTTTCCTTAGTTGATTTCATATGATATTATTCTTACTTTCATACTTCTTCTTACTGTCATAAAAACTGTCCCCTCCTACTTCGCAATCAAATGGACAGTGCCATATGCTTTGGCATAGTCTGTGTGAATTGAATCGACATAGCTATGTTTATCAGATGCATATATGTTGCGTTTATGGGTATATCTTATCAAAAATATTAGTTTCAAATACTTTCACCAATTAATTAATTAGTAGTAATTAATTAGTAATTTCTAACATTTAACTGACAATTGCTCTTATAAGTAGGTGTTACATAGCTAACCTTCCAAATATCTGGCACATGGGGGCATAACCTGGGATACAAAGAAAAACCCAGAAAAGACATTGTAATAACGATAGTAGTACACAGGCACCTGCTTTTGGGACTAAAGCTTACAGCTGCCCCTTATGCCGAGAGAGGTTTCTCCATGTTTCCAACATAATAAAGGAGTGTCATGCCTTGGCTCCATACAGAGAGCGTGTAGGCATGCCGCCAGATTTAAGAGTGATTCTCAAGCACAGCAGTCAGTTTATGGGTCCCCTGTTCCGCTTTTTATAGGACATGGCTTTTTTTTTTTTTTAACTGTATATTGATTATTTGAAGATCATGAGATGCAGTCTGGTGTGATGTAGGTTTTAGAAAAACACTTTCTTTTTCATGCCAATGTTTCGATCTTTATTGAGATCATCTTCAGGGCTCAAAGTGTTTGTTTTTTGTGTAATTGTGTCATTCTTGGGTGTTGTGTTGAGAGTGCCCAATGGGGGGTTTTTCTAAAACCTACGTCACACTAGACCGCATCTCACGATCTTCAAATAATCATTAATTAACGGTCACTATATACCACACATTACTGTATATTGTTATATTCTATGTATTTTGTTATTAGGCGTTTTGTTTGGATGCGTGTATTTATTAGTGTGAAATATAGCATCATTATCGCCCCTCCAGCAGTGTGTTTGTATAGGGTTGATGGCTGAATATTTATAAAAGTACCTCATCGACCCTAATTTAGAGATGATTAATACAGTGTAGTTCGATGGATGAATAGCCAGTACTCCACCAGAATAAATGCAATGCATGAATGTATTTATTTGCATGACTGTTTTATCCAATGTAATTAGTATTAGGCTAGATTATGGTTTGCAGCGTTTGGGGCTGAAATTACCTAGCTTTATAATTTATTTATTTAGTACCTGATCCCATAGTGATTTCAGGTATTCATAACCATATACAATTATTATTTACAATTAATTTAATACAATTTTACTAATAAAATTATTTAAGGCTTCAATACGGTCTCTAATCAAACTGTGATGGTCGGGTGGTCCACCTTTACACACAATGTCCCTTATTAGAGATTTTCGGCGTGGTTCTTGAATGGGGCAGTCAAATAAGATATGGTCCCATGTTTGTTGAGGTCTCCCTGGACAGTCGCATTCCGAATCCGGTGTTATGTGGAATCTATACAGATATTCTCGATTTCGTCCATGGCCGCTTGTAAGTTGGGTAAGCATATGGTGGTGTTTCAGTTTTACTGCCATCCTTGAGTCTACCGATGGGAAGAACTTTTTAGTTTGAAGACCTTTAGCCATATGTCTCCAACGTTCTTCCCATTGAGCCAATGTCATTTTCGAGGCCATGGAGATGACATAGCTTTTCGGCACTACTGTGATTGTTGTTTCTAGTTCAGAGTTTTCTGTAGCTTCCTTTGCTGCTGCGTCGGCTTCCTCGTTACCTTGGATCCCTGTGTGCCCTGGTACCTTTTCAATACTGATATTCCAACCATTATCACGCAATGATTTTGTCATATTTCTGATGTTGGATACCATCAAGCTTTGTGCTTTATAATTTTTAATTTTATCGATGGATATGCGGCTGCCTGTCATCACTATCGCGTTTTTGTTCACTTCCCCAACATCCTGCTGTGTGAGCCATTGAAGAGCCTTCAGGATAGCAATGAGTTCAGCTTGGTTGTTCGAGCACCAGCTAGCGAGTCTAATTTGTATTGTTTCTTGCAGTTTGTTGTCTTTTCCATAGATGTCAAGGGCTGCTCCAACCTCATTATTCATTTTGCTCCCATCAGTGTACATTACAATCTTGTCTTGCCATGATACTGACTCTATGATTCCTTCAGTTCTATAAGACCTGGGATAATATATAAAGGGGATACTAGTGACCCAGCCACATAACGGGGTTGGTGAACTCCCTGATGTATAAGTCACTACGGTCAGCACATTGAGGAGTGACATCCCTTCAGAGTGAAAGTCTGAGTAATACTCCTTAGGTCTTAGGAGAATGTTCAAGTTGAGTACAATAAGCGAAAACACTACAGCGCTTGGGGAACATAAAGACCCCCCACTTGTTCATTCATCTTCATCATCATGAAAAATTTCAAATAAGAGGTGAATGATGAAACACTCCAACACTTCACATTCACGTCATTGTTTGTCGTTGCATTAAAAGCATTTGGATTAATTAAACTACTATGGACATAATCTGAATAAATCTGCATTACTCTATGTAAAACAGCTTGTTAGACAAATTTTCTCTTAAATGCCAACATGCCAAGAAAAATGGTATGTGCAACATATTTAGTGAAAAGACAGAGTCTTATTTCTTTTATATTTAAGTTTAGTTATACAAAATTAATTAGTCATTTCAATTAATAAAATGTGTTCAAAAGGAATTTTCATGGTGGTGCCATCCTGTGGATAAGGACACCAAACGTTCCTATTTACATTTCAACAGTGCAGGGACAGCAGCACTGGTCATAGTTAGTCGTAGATGTCATCGTCATCCCTGGTCCGATTTCTGTTATCTTCTTTGTGATTGTCATTGTTCACTCTTGTCTGTTCTTTTTTAAATCCCTGCCAATATTCTTGGAGTGATTGTATTGCACAGACCTTTGTTGAGCCTGTTAAGGAGTTATTCCAAACCAAGCCAGTGAGTCCAAAGGTTAGTCTTTACAACAATATTCTAAACTATAAGTTATTTTTTTGTTTTTTTCATTTTTTCTGATATTCATTCAACTGCCCTGACGAACTGGTACAACACTAGTGTTTAAGGGACAGTTTAACACTGGTGTTTTTAACAAATTGAAAGAATTTAATTAGCTGAGTTAATTTGAAAAGGAGCAATAATCATTTATGGCAATATGTCCTTGCATATTTTCTCTCTGATGCTAATTCAAAAATGATTCCTTTGAAACACTTTGAATGCTATATTATGTGAAATATAATATTTAACTTGCCTAAAGAAGCAGGCGCTGATTGAGAAGTTTAATTAAGTATCAAAAAGTATTCTCTTGAGCATTGTTTTATTATTTGTTTGCATCACGCCCTTTATTCTATTTTATTAAACTTAACTATTGTCACTTTCCTTATTTCTCGTTACCCTTCTCATTATTTCTTCCTGATACACTTTACACTTCCCAGAATTGCTTTGCTAGAAAGCGCATCAGCGTTCTGCAGCCAAGGCTATTGTATAATAGTAATTGCTTGCAAATTCCCTCATGGATTCTAAAACATGGCTTATTTCCTGAAATTATGGTGGGTTTATCGTTTTGACCTTTTTGTCTTTAGCGTTATTTTTATCTTTCAGAATTTTGACATCACATAGGTGTAAATCTGTTAAATATGAATATAACCACTTGCTCATAAATAATAATTAATTTGTAATAAATATGAAACTTTAACAGATTCTTTTTCATCATATTTTGGCCATTTGTAACGGTTGGTTAAAACAATCTAAAAATCTGTACTTTGCCGTTTTTTATTTAATCGTTCAAATTAGCAAAGCAAAAAACATGTTTGTGGAACTTCAACAGGCTCAGACTTTTATACTTTTCCCCCTTAAGTTGTATTTTTGTATGATGGGTCTGGAAGACAGTGATCTTCTTTTTAAAAACCATTCTACTTCAGTGGATGATGGGTTTTGGTCTGCGAGTCAGTGAACTCAGGTTGAACCGGCACAGGGCCACTCACTGGGTCTGTCTTCACTGGCGGGTTTTTGTTTTTATCACTGAAGATGGTGCAATGCTGAAACTTGTCTGAATAACTCAAAAAAAAAAAAAAGTGAAGACAAACCCAGTAAGTGGCCCTGTGCTGGTTCTACATGCATTCTCCTTCATATGAGAACCTTTTATAATTGTTCATGAAACACAGGTCCTCCAGACCTTCACTCTTTTTTCCACCTAATTTAATTTGTATTTGTATTTATTTATTTTATTTTATAATAATAGATTTAAATGTAAGTTGATATGTAGTTGTATTGATATCTTTTTCCACAACACAATTTACTCTAACTCTATCTTGGTAAGGATATTTGTTGATAGATATTCCTAGATAGATAATAATGATAATTTCAGTTACACTAGATTGCATTTTGTAAACAATGTTTTATTGAAATTTAAAATAGAAAAAAAATGGATTGAACAACACATCATGATAGAAACAATTGGAAACAACAAAGAACAAATGGAAACAATACCATCCATACCAAACTTGGGCCAACCAAATGCACTATTTTAAATGGGAAAATCCTTTCCAACAGAGAAAAAGTTATAAATGGAACTATCCATTTCCAATTTAAAAAAAAAAAAAAAAAAAAAAAAAANGGGACCATCTGTTTGCAATTAAAAAATAATATAAAATAAAATGGCTCGAACAGATCATCCATCATATAAGAACTGCAGCCACCCATTAACAACTGAAAATTTACTGAATACATTTTAAATGGGCACATCATTTTCCAAAAGGGGGACCAAACAACACATTATAATTAAACAAGGAACATCCATCAAAAACAGAAAAATAGATAGATTGAATGCAATATTGGAAATCATCCATTCCAATGGAAAAATGAATTCAAAATTTGAAGTAAGGCAACAGCCTATTTCCAAGTGAAAAAAAAAACACTAAATAAATAGATTAAAAAAGGGCTTGAACAGTGAATAATATTTGAAACAGTGCTATTCGTTTCCAATTCAAAATGAATGGAAAGGTGCATAATATTTGAGATGGTGTGACCATCACCAACTGAAAAATGGTTGTCACCCTTCAGGCCACAGGAGGAAATCTTACAGTTTTATCTGACGTTAATAATAAATTTAATTTGTTTCCATAATTGTTTCTTTCAAGATGTCATCCAAACTTTTGTAAAATCAATAGTACAATTGAACTTACAAGGGGACGACCAGGTTGGTGTGTCAAGGATTTGGATCAAACTTTTTTGGTGTTTCTACACTACAAAATATCATAAAATATAAATAATTTGGTGTGATTTAAAAAGATATAAAAACAAAATACTGCTTTTTTTTTTGCATATTGTAACAAGCATAATTGCAAAATAGGTCAGAAAATGGTCAAAACTTGGATTTGACCTCATTGTCGTGATTCTCGTGTAATAAAACCCTTATATACCGACTTTCATGGAAATCAGTGTAAATTAAATTTTTGACTCATAATTATGTCGACTTTTCTGTGATTGACATTCTTAGTGCAAGCTGTAACATTTTTCTCAAAAGCAAGTGGACCAATGGTCATAGTTGATCATTTGTTTTGAAGAAATGGTCAAATGCATTTTATAACTGTATCAAACATTAAAACCAAACCATTATTTACATTAAAAAAAGGTTAATTTCTGACTTATAATTTTGCTATTTTGTGTATTTTCTGTGTATTTTTATTTTCATTTGGTATGTTTGACATTATAATCCTTTCAGCCATTTTTGAATTATAGCTGTTTCTGTTGGATATTCCACTAACGACTTCACAAAAATCAGAAAAATTATGAGTCAAAAAACAATCAATTTAAATTCAAACAAAAATTTATATTTAGGCCAAAGATCGTGGGTTCAAATCCCGCTTGTGCCATTGACTTTTTTATCTCAACTGAAAACCTTAATTAATTGTAATATATTAATTGGTCAAGCGGACCACGAAATTAGTGAATTGAATTTATATTTATGGGTTTCTAGAGGTGCTAAAATGAAATTTCATATTAGTTTCACAAAAAAATATATATATTTATGATAGTTTACATGAAAAAATTTTGGTATTTAGAATTTTTTGGTTATTGATAAACTTGATAGGTTTTCCTATATTTTTTTGCAGTTTACATAAAAATGCTGTGATATAATGTATTCACATAGTTGATTTGAATAAAAAAATGAAAATATTAATAAATGGAAACGTTCAACTTTCAAAATTTTTTGACAAAACCAGGACCTATTCATGAGAAGTTATGGATACATGTTCGATATTTTGAGTGTAGAATCACCAAAAGTTTGGTTCAAATCTGTGACCCCCTGTGAACCTGGTTGTCGTTACCTTGTTAGCTTTTGTTGATTCGTGCCATTCATCAGATTGTTGTTTGCTTTATTCCTAGTTGAATAATTTAGATTGTTGTTTGCTTTATTCCTAGTTGAATGATTTATTGTTATCTAAACAGATAAATGAACTTGCTCAAAGGGACATATTTGTAGTTTGTATTTATTTATAGATTAAAGTTCACTTCTCTGAATATAATTAATCTTACTTTTATTTATTTATTTTGTTGTACAACCAGATATTAGCAATGTAGGAATGGCTAATTATGTCTGCTTTTTAGATTCATACCTCTTTATTACAACATTTATAGCCATTAACATTTTTTAAACCTTAATTTTAAAATGTATGTAATATTTTATTATATTTTGCTTTAAAAACTATTAGGACCTAATATCTGTTTTTACAGACACCATGGCATTATTGTTCAGTGTGATATCAAGAGGGTCGACTATTCTTTGTAATTATGCCACTCGTCCTGGAAACTTTAATGAAATCACTGAACAAATCTTGGCAAAAATCGCTCCTGAAGATGGGAAGCTTACTCTGTCCCATAATTCATACAATTTTCATTACATAAGTGAAAACGGAATTATTTATATGTGTATCACTGATGATGTAAGTAAAAAAACGACAAATGAAAAATTGTGTTTTATTTTTAAATAAGATTCTCTTAGGGTTGACATGCTTTGTTTAGGTTTTTGAAAGGTCGAGAGCATTTTTATTTTTGAATGAAATCAAGAGAAGATTCATTTCTAGTTTTGGCATCAGAGTCAACACTGCTATAGCTTATGCGATGAACAATGAATTCAGTCCTGTTCTTAAAAGTCAAATTGTAAGAAAAATATCCATTTACGCTTAAATTTAAAATGAATAATATACGTAACTGCATACTTTCAATTATAGAAACACTACACAGAAGCTAAAGATGTTGACACTATGTCACGTATCAATAGTGAACTAGACGAATTGAAAGATATTATGGTTCAAAATATTGGTAAGTTTGTAATATCATTGATTGGTTTGTTTAAACTAATTAATTTTTTTTACAGATGATATTGCTTCAAGAGGGGAAAACTTAAGACTGCTGTATGAAAAGTCTGAAAACCTGAATGCAACTTCAGTTACATTTAGAACTCGAAGCCGAAACCTGCAGAGATCTCTATTCTGGAAAAATGTTAAAATATACATAATAATCTTCGTTGTGTGTGTTGTAAGTTGACATAGTTCAACAACAAATAAATTTTTGAAAAATTTAAATTTGTTTTAATTTTTCAGGTGGTTTTATATCTGATTTTATCAATGGCTTGTGGAGGTCTGACACTTCGCAATTGCTAACATCAAAGTTATACAGATTTTTATAACTAATATTAAGATATTTATTTCTATAGATTTGTTATGTATAAATTAAAAAATGTATAGGCAGAATATTTATTCATTTTAAAAGCTTCTTTTTTCCATCCGTTTTTTTTCATCAATAATTTTTTCCCCTTTTATGAAGAATGCATTACTAGTCAGAAAACGTTGACCTCCAATCAATATAAACATAAGTTTGTTAAAAAACTTCATTTAAACTGTGATAGCTCTCTGTTGTGTAAGACAAATATTAATATTAAAAGTTGATTACAGTTTAGCATGTACTGTTACAATTATTTAACCTTTTTTGTGTATAAATTATTTAATTGATATATAATATATAGCCATTTTAACTCATAAATGAAAGTTTGTAAATATAAATATTCTAAAGGTGTAATATAATAGTTTGTAACACATGAGGAAATAAACTTTTAATATATTCATTCATTCGTTTTCTTCCAGTTGATTGTCATAATCATTATTGACTGTGAAAACTTTGTATTGTGGATTTTCAAAAATTGATAATTTCCCTAAGACAAACTTTTAGGAATGAACTAATAGTGCCTAAGGATGTTACCTAATTGTCAAAAAATAAATGTAATCAATGATTTTGATGTTTTGTAGGGCATCATAGACCTGTTGTTGAACATAAATATGCTGTCCAAAGCAATATTGATGATGAATAGTTAGGTACACTAGGTCAGGTTTTTTGATGTTTTCCAGACACTGCAAAGTTCAGGTTTATTCTTTTCCTAGTTTATTAGTTTAGTCTGTCGACTCAATACTTCTCAGAAGAAGCATTAAGGATTTTCTTTGTATCCTTGGATATGTGAATATTAAGTGGTTACTTCATATTTGAAGATGATGTGGGTGGCAGTTTCCTCCTTATTGTATAATCTGCAAATGTGAACATCATTGAATATGCCCATGTTTTTTATATATTTTTTTAAATTACATTTATTTGTTATTTACAACTACAAGTGATGTATTAAGTAAATATGTTCGTATATGTTGAATTATCATTTGAGGCTCTTGTAGGAGAAGTTGCCCAGTGGTAACACTCCTTCACACGATATCTTGTTCAGTCTTCACACAATGAGAAGGTCTCGGGGCCACTTTCGCTTCAATCGTCTTGGAGGATTTTCAGGTAGGGTTGGAAGTGATAAATTTCATACGAATTACTGTGTGTGTTCAGTGATCGATGAAATTTTTTATATCGGGTTTTGATGAGTTCATGTACAAACGGGATGTGTAGGTCTTTATGGATAGTGTAATTTGAAACGTAAAAAGGAGCATTTATAATTTGACGGAGAATTTTAGATTGGATTGATTGGAGACGCTGGGAATTGGAATCCTTGGTTGAGCTCCACACTTCACAACCGTACGCCCAGAGAGGTCTAATCATTGTCTTGTAAATTAAAAGTTTATTTTCAAGGTCTAATTTTGATCGTGAGTCGAGTAGTCTTTTTAACAATTTATAACGTCGGTTTGTTTGCTGTCTTTTCAGTCTTGTATGGGGATTCCAAGTCAGTCATTTATCCACGAAAAGTCCAAGATAACGCACAAGGTCAGTGGTAGGCAATGGAATTCCATTTATACTCACCACAGGACAGACATTTTTACGTAAGGTAAAATTGATCTGTGTGCTTTTTGTTAGGTTTACCTTTATTCTCCACTTTGTGAACCATATTGTTAATTCTTGTGTTGTTGTAAGTGTTGAGTGTTAATTGAGGGGTCCTAATTGCGTGTAAGGATCGCTGTATCATCAGCGAATGTGTGTGTCGAAATGTTAACGTGTGTAGGAATATCTGCAGTGTATATGGAAAATAAAAAAGGGCCAAGTATGCTTCCCTGAGGAACACCCGCCCTTATGCGTATATAAGGTGAGAATTCAGTTCCCTGACGGACTCGAGAAAATCGATCCGTCAGATAAGATCTCAGTATAAGATAGATAAGATGCCCATGTTATGTAGATGTTTTCTCTGATGCCAATGACCAGTATGTAGTCCTATCACTCCTCTGAGATGAGCCCTCTTTAACAGTAGCAGTGAGTTTGCCAGTCATAGTGATGTTTTAACATAAGCTTACTGTATCTACCACCTCTAGAGGTTATCTATTTCTCATTTTGTCTTTTTTAAAACCATTCTGACATGGAGGATTCCGTGTTTGTCCTTGTTATCCCAAGAATAGGTATAGATATATGGCCTTGCAGATCCTCCTTAGGCCATAGTGTGTCATTACTCAAAATTCCCTTGTGTCCTGGTACCCAAAATATCATCAAATTGTAGTTTCCTCAGGTTTTGGAGATTTTTTGGCTGTTTCTTCTTTCTCATAAAGTTTAAAAATTCTTTCTCGTTGGGGTTCGATTCTCACTGTCAACTCTGGACTTTTCAAATTTGAAAATTGACACAGCAGTCATCAATAGGTCTGGGGTGGGATCGGATTTCAGTGACCCTGAATTTGATCCCAACCCCCTTCAAAATATGGCCATGTGCAGATGTTTTCCGAGATGAGAAATTGTTATATCAGCACTTTACACATTGGAGAGAAATCATTTTTATGTACAATAGCAGAGGATGATAGTGTTTTTTCTATTTGTACGTGTTTGATTTTACTATGATACATCTGTCTTTATTAGTTGGTATTAAAGACATATTATTTCCTCCATATAGTATTATCTACTCTTCATCATAACACGAAAACTTGTTTTTGTTTTGATCTGTGGTGTGTTAGTATTGTGTGCACCATTGTTTTTATGCCACTTTTACATAATCTGCCTGGTTAATATTGTCAATTTTCTTCAGATGGATATAATCAAATATCCATTGGAGAAAACTACTACATTTATTTTTGTTTACTTTCTTAAAATAATAAAAAAGTAAAAATAAAATCTATAAGGTGACCTTTAGATCGTCTACCAAAGTGTCTCTGAAAATGTGTGTAATCCTGAAAAGTTGGATTGGTAACAAATCCTTTAAGTTATAAGAGCATTCATCTGTTCTGATGTTCAAATTAATGTATGAAGTTTTTTATATTGTAAAAAAAAATGTTAACTGTTTCAAATCTTACAATTTAGTCTTTAACCGATCGTCTGGGTGGGGGTCTTTTTTAAAGCGCAAATTGGAATGTGAAGGTGCCACCGGTACTTACATGTATTTATGCCCATATTTAGATTGGGTTAATGAGCACATACCAAACGCCCCAATGACTCCGATTAACTGTAAAGGATCAGTGATTGAAAATAAACATCTAAAATTATTGATTTTCTTTAATTTAATTGCATTGCAATTGATAATTTTATTATTTTTTGCATTTTCCCCATAACGATATAGTCTCTAAATAAATATATGCCTAATTTTTAATTTTATGGTCTAAATTGGTGGCTAGTGTTAGATAGCAAAAGGCCTTTGCCTAAAAATCATTAATTTTTATGATATTTTAAAGAAAAATATTTGCTTATGGTCCACACACACACGCACACGCACGCACGCACGAGAGAGAGAGAGAGAGAGAGAGTGAGAGTGAGAGAGATGGATATTATTATAGACATTTAAAAATAGTCCAAATTAGTGCCATGAGCGGGATTTGAACCTACGACCTTCAGCTAAATACGCCATTGCTCTACCACTTGAGCTATGGTGATGAGAGCAATGGCATATTTAGCCGAAGGTCGTGGGTTTGAATCCCACTCGTTGCACTAACTTGTTCATATCAGCCAAACCCTTACACAAAAAGATTAATTAATTGAAAGAAGTAATTTGGCCACTAAATATAATGAATTTAATAGTCCAAATGTTTAGTGTTAAAAACAAATCTAAGCAAAAATTCATTTTTCTCTTAAAAACAGGTGAAGTTTCAAACGTTTTGCTGAACTGACTTTCAATTAGTTTTCGTCATTTTTGATCAATTCTAATGAACTTGAATTTGCAAATGAAAATGTAACTTATCATTTGATATCAATATTTTTTTAAACTTTTTTAAGATATTGAGGCAAAACTATATAATGCAATGTTTTAAAGTATAGCTTTATAGGATGGCGGGAGGGAAGATATATTTTAAACGTTTAAAGTAAAATTTGTTTATTGGCATGAATGTACCGTATAACACACGTATTACACGGTTCACGGTTAGTACACACATATTAACCCTCAATTATATTAGTTATGTAGAATGTATATGGAGTAATGGAAGAAATAGTAAATATAAAGGAAAAAATGTATTTAAGAATGAGTGAAAAGTGTAAAAAAAAAATGTTAACTGTTTCAAATCTTACAATTTAGTCTTTAATCGATCGTCTGGGTGACTTTTAAAAAGAAACTGTCACTACTTCACCAAGCTTCGATCAAGTCTAATACAGATACAGTATTTAAAATATTTATTCTTATTTTACAATTTTCAAAATAATTACTTGGCAAGTAATCCTGAAGAGCAAACCTTGTTGCTACAGTAGCCAGATATAAATGCTGCAGTTGCATAATAATGTATTGATTTTTAATAATGAATACCAAATAACAATATAATACATATGTAATGACAACAAATAATACAGACATCTTATTCAACTGATTTGTCCATGCTTTACAACTTTGAGGTGTTTTAGGAACGTCAGGTACATGTTTGCTGATCCAGTCGAGATGAGGGCAAATGTACATGTAAGCGCTTTGCGATTTCCCACATTCTTTTTTCTTAGCACCAATATTCGTTTGTGCACAATTGTGAGCTTCGTATATGAAATGACCGACACCGACACCTTTTCCATCGCACACTAACGGTGCTCCTATGTCACCTTTGCACAGGCCACGGGTTTTTTCATTCAAGCAGACCAACCTTCGATTTTGAAATCTAAAAAAGTGATTGACATCAATTTGTGAGTTATAAAAAAAGGGAGTTGATTGAACAGTCTTACGATCTTAAACATGGGCAACCATGATCGCCATGGACTGCCTTAACTGAAAGAGTTTTGAGAATGTTGGTAGGTGTACTTTTTAATGAATTAAGACCATATCCTGATGTGGTGCAATCCAACCCTATGCTAGTAGTATCATTCTGAGGCCAGGGATCATTAGAGAGAGGTAAAACGGATATTGATGTACCATCAATCGACAATTCCTTACTGAGCTAAAAATTAGTATTGTACAGTGCTATACAATTACAAGATAATACAAAGAAATAACTTAGAAATTACTTTTATAAGGCCTAAATCATATTTTGAAATTTTTTCTTCTTCGTACTTATCATGGGAAATGGTTTCACTTGGTGTTATTCCACTCGATGCGTTAATACTTTCAGTCGGTGGGAACACCTAAACAAAATGAACCAAATATTTAATATATTTTATTTTAGTGTGCTAATGGTGTTATGCATCTTATAGATTAGTTTGTTGAATATTCAATTCAGTAACTGTTTTGTAGTTTGTAGATATAAATATATGTTCCCTAAGTTTTACAGTATTATTACCAAAACACTTTGCTTTTTGATACACTGAGCTGCAGTCAGGATCCACGATTTGTGAATTATCATCCCTGCACACCACTGAGTTTTATTTGTAAAACCAATATTCACCACATAAGGGACTTTAAAGTCGTCTAGACCACCAGCCATTCTCTTTTCTATTTTGAGTATATCTTCTTCAGAAAACCGGTACCCTTGATTGAAAGGAAATGAAGACAGGAAAAACATGAAAGCAATTAAGAATACTTTAAATATTTTAAAGCGGGTTTTAATACAGTTTTCCTTTTCTGTAGTTAAATGTTGGACAATGAAATCCATTAAAAATGAACAACTTTAAAATAGAAAGAAAAGAAGTTTAATATTGGTAACATTTCATATAAAATAAATCAGTTGGTTTGAAAAAGTCATATATACTATATACATATAAGTAATATACACATTTGCAAAGAAACAAGAAAAACAAGCATAACATTAAATATTAGATTAAAAATATATTCTACGAAAAACGAGTAAATTAATCATGAAATGGTAGGAAGATAGTTATTGTTAAAGAGAAATCCTAAAGTGAAAGGAAAGCAAAAACAATCTAGATGTTTTATTTGACAAATTTAACTCTTAAAAAAAAAATCATATGATCAATTCTTCAATTTTTGCACAACCAAATTTCATATTGTTACGAATAAACTACAATGAACAGCTATTTTCACATACAAAATCTCCCATTGGAGGTAATGATCAACATATTCGGCCATTTACCATACAATGAAATCTGCACTTTAATCAACGAATGTTTATTGTTCCAAAAAGCAGTTTGCTTACATATGAAATTTTCTATTGTTCGGTTAAAGAATGTACTTCAGAGCGAGTTGCACAGATTCACGTTCAAATTGAGAAATGTACCGTTGAATGAAGAACATTTGAGAATAGATTACATGAAATCTTTGCTTTCCTTAAGAATGTTGTCCACTGAAGTTGATGTCCTTATTGCAAAAGTGTGGAGGTACACAAAATGGCAAAAAGCATGGATCATCCTTTGCCCTCTTCTTTCCCCTGTGCTGAAGCAGTTTGAAGAAGTTATTTCAAGTCAGACACGAGACAGCAAGAGAGTGCGTGAGTTCAATTCATTTACTTTGCCCATTATTCTAAATGAATTTTATAACTTCTTAAATGAACTTGAAAATAACTTGGAAGACGTCCTGCATTGTGAAACACAAGAAGAGATACCTTTTGAAACAAAAGTCATTGACATTCTTACTTGTTGCCCTTCCATAAATTTCCAACTCGGTCTACAAAAAAAAATCGATAAAAAGCATTACCATATTTATGGTTATTTTAAATTCCCAGGTGTAAAGCCAATTTTTCAGGTGCCAGATGTTCACAATTCACAACTGACAAATGAGCAAAAAAGGAAAAAAGTACTTAAATACTTAAGAGAAAGCATTCAATGGTCTAATGCCACTTTTTTAAATGGCCTTGTTAATCGGATAATTGACCTAGAAATGGGTCTGCTGATATATATCATGACAAACGAGGAAAGGAACTTTCTTATAGACAAGATACAAGAGTTGTACGCCAAAATAACGGAAAACCCATATCAGCCTATTTTAAAGTCAATAGATTTAGTATTTGACGGTGAAAACACTATTTGGAACGAGTATTATTTAAGAATAAACTCTTATAACATAAATTTGACAGGGCTCACATGCATTATCGATATACCGCATCATGATACAAGGTGGCTTCCACTGTCCTTGCCTTATCTAAGAGGACGCAGGACTATTCCAGAGCAGTTAGAAACTTTTGAAGTGGATTTGGGAAAAGTTGGATCTCATTTTTGTATGAATGGAGAGAGTGAACAAGAGGATTCAAATGTTTTAAAAGGACCAGATATAGAAATGAAGCCAAAGCTTCAGATGATTATCCACTACAGGGAAGGGTTAAACAGTACTCCTGCTGAAGCAATTGTCGATGTAGGATATAACGACTTGGGAGAACCGTTTCTAAATACACACAACATTCAGTCTGAACCATTTGAGGATTCTGTAGAATCAGAAAGTGATTAAAATGTGGATTCTGTTCAATAAAATATTTTAAAAACGTTTAATTGATTGGTTAATTTATTCACTTAAGAATTTCATGTAATTTATGTGAGTCAAAAAACATTCAGTGTATGCATATGTTCATCCCATGTTTATTCAAAATGGAAAGAATTGCAATTATAATTTTTATTATCATATTATGCTATGATTCAATAGTCTGTCCAGTTCCGAATATGTCAAACAATTTTATTGATTTAAAGTCACTTCCAAGAATTGTGGCAGGAGAATATGCAAGAATTGAGGAAGTCCCGTACATTGTTAGAATCAGTGCAGCATCCAAGATATGCACAGGTGCTGTTATTCACACTTCTTGGGTTTTGACAGCAGCCCACTGTATATTTACACCATTAACACCTGAAAAAATGAAGGTAGGATTGAATTAACTATTGCCATTTAGTACTTAGACTTTAAATTGACAGCTATTTATTTATTTATTTTTTTTGTGTGCCAAATGTATGCCTAAATCCATGTGATAATAATGCAGAAAAAAGAAGACAAAACTTGTAAATTAATTGCTGTATAATTTACTAACCCTACTATAATTGTGATGAAGTTCTCGACTTAATGAACAATTTTAAAGACTTAAGAAATTGATTGAAAAGTAATTGAGATTGACGATCTTCACATTTTTTTTCACATCTTTATTTATTAGAAAAAATGAACATATTTCAACAAACTATAACAAGATATTTCAACATGAAATATTTATTTATATTAATATCATTATTAATTATATATTTATATTCTATTTTAATATCAGATTCTTGCTGGAATTGATGATATTTCAAATGAAAATAAAAGCCAGAGACGGGTAGCAGAAAAAATAGTGGTACACAAATTGTATGTCAAAAATGGTGTCGGTTTTTCCGATTTGGCACTTATTAAGGTAACTAATCATTAGTGTATTGTTGGTAAAAAAAATTAAATATTGTACTAATATATTAATCAGTTCAAATCATTAATTTATTTTCAGGTGAATAAACCCTTTACATTGAGTACAAATGTTGCAGTTTTAAATCTTTCAAATGAAATCTGGCCGCAAGACAAGAAGCTCCAATATAACAGGCCATGTCTTGTGGTAGGGTGGGGATCTGAAAAAGCAGGTAAAAAAGGTTCGTTACTACTTAAAAAGCTCACATTAACAGCCAGGCATGGACCTGAAGGGTGTGACTGCTGGAATGTGTAAGTGGATTACAATTATAAAAGATCACTTATTAAAATTGAGGTTAAAGTTATAACAATAAACTTTTAATTTCAGGGTGCAGAACAGAAATTTAGTTTGTTTGAATGCAAACAAGGGAAAAGGCATCTGCTCGGGGGATTCTGGAGGTCCTTTAGTTTGTGACAACAAGGGTGTTGGTGTCGCGCATATTATTTACAGAACCAAAGGTTGCCATCTTACGGAATATGATAATACTTTTTTAAAGCGCAAATTGGAATGTGAAGGTGCCACCGGTGCTTACATGTATTTATGCCCATATTTAGATTGGGTTAATGAGCATATACCAAACACCCCAAAGACTCCGATTAACTGTAAAGGATCAGTGATTGAAAACAAACATCTAGAATTATTTATTTTCTTTAATTTAATTACATTGCAATTGATAATTTTATAATTTTTTGCATTTTCCCCATAATGATATAGTCTCTAAATAAATATATGCCTAATTGTTAATTTTATGGTTTAAATTGGTGGCTGGTGTTAGATAGCAAAAGTTTTAAAGTATAGCTTTATAAGAGGGCGGGAGGAAGTAAAATTTGTTTATTGACATGAATGTACTGTATAACACACACTATTAACCCTCAATTATATTAGTTATGTAGAATGTATATGGAGTAATGGAAGAAATAGTAAATATATAGGAAAAATGTATTTAAGAATGAGTGAGAAGTGCTTAGGTTAAAAACTGCATGCATTGTGGGCTGAAATGACCTAGCTGTCGATAGCCATGGATCCTAACTTCAATTGGCATGTTGGCAAGCTAACCACGGATCAACAGAACAATACCGGATTAGGTGTGAACAGTCTAATTACAATATATCTTAAAGCATTATATTGCCTTATCCCTCAGACGGTTTTAAACCATGAGGAACGTCTTTCTTGCTCTGTAATATATACTGACGATCTGTAAACTTTGTATATATATTAAACAATAAAGACATATAGTAGTATATTGCCTTATCTTTACATTGCAGAGTCTGTTAGAAAACATCCTATTTTTGATAACCTGTCTGAGAACTCATTTAGGTGAAAATCTACTGAGATTGCATATAATTTAAGTTTTCTGTATTTATTCATTCCAAACTGATGTTGCATATATCAGTAAAGGAAATTCTTAAATAGTGGTTTGTATTCAATCTCAGAGATTGATTAATTGATTTAATCTCACAAAGTTAGGTCTCTTGGACCTTTGTACCACTTAACCTGAAAAAATTATATAAAATAAACCTATGCACAATAGATTAATAGTTTCTTCTGAAAATTGAGATGGCACCTAGGAACTCACAGTAGTCAAGTACAGTTCTCATACTGACTAGGATTCATAGACTCTCTCAGATGTCACACTTTGACCAAATAGAACAAATTTCAGTACGCATAAACTGTCTTTGGACCAAAATAGGTGTAAAATATTCAGTGTGCTGCAGTTTTTGATGCAATATAGGAAAAACAATGCACCACTGGTTAAATGGACCAAGTCACTTCTACTTAGTCATGCCTGTAGTCGTAGTGCATGTTAAATCATCCGTGGTATAGAGACTCATATTGGGGAATGACTCGGTCTGTTGGGGATGGGCCAATGAAATGAAAATATTTAGGCCAGGGATCACTAAATTGGTTTTCTTTCTCTACCAAATGTCTAAAAAATATATATCTAGTGGCACGATAAAACTATCATTTGGTTGTAACAATCATTTTGGTGAAATAGAAATGATACAGATACACTGAACACATCTGACAGACCAAACCAGTGAGGAGGCAGATTAAAATTATTGGTAACAATTTTACACCAAATATTCCTTTACCGACGAACTTTCTCCTGAGAGATTTTGAACCAACAGCAAATGGGATCATCGCTGTATATATATCCATGTTGTGCAGATGTTTTCTCAGATGCCAGTGACTGGTTAGTAGTCCTACCACTCCTCTGAGTTTGGCCCTCTTCAATTGCAGCAGTGTTTTTGCCAGTCTCGGTGAGGGTTGCTTCATCATAAGTTTACTACGTCTAGCACCACTAGAGTTTATCCACTTCTCCTTTTGTTTTGCTTGGATCCATTCTGCAATGGAGGATTCTATATTTGTTCTTGTTATCCCAAGAATAGGTTCGGGGCCTATGTATGGTCTTGCAGATCCTCCTCTGGCCAGTCTGTCTGCTTTCTTGTTACCCAAAATTCCCCTGTACCCTGGCACCCAAGATACCATCAGGTTGTTGTGTTTCCCCAGGTTTTGGAGATTTTTGTTGCATTCACTGACTAATTTTGGCGTGATTCTTTTACATTTTAATGGCTGCTTGGCTGTCAGATCTTATGAGGATTTTTTTGCCAGTGTAACCGCTTTTAAGATTTTTCAGGGCACAAGCATTGATGGCATGTATTTCTGCTTGAAAGACCGAAGTGTACTTCCCTAATGGGTTTGATTGCTCATGTTTTGGGCTTGTACAGAAAACGCCTGATCCGGTTCCTTCGTTTGTTTTGGAGCCATCCATGTACCACATCATTGTATCTGATGCTCTCCTGTGTTCTTCCTCTCCTTTATAGTCTATTGAGACTTTACAGGAAGTTATGAAGATTGTTTCCGAGATCATATAATCAGTCCCCATTTCTAATAATGGGTGTCTGATTTTGTTGATTATGGTTGTATGCCCAAATTGTTAATTCCTTTCCAATTTAATTGTGGATAAATAAATTATTAAATGGATAACCATAGTAATAACCATGTAAATCATTAGAAAAAGTTTCAAAGTCCTGATGATATGGGGGAGAATATATTCTTGAAAGCAATACTCCAAGAAGCATCATTGCGCCATATTTGACTCTAGAAGAAAATTTCCTCACTGAAAATGACACAAGGCGAAACGCATTTGAATAGTTCAACAAACCAACAAGTGAAGATGAACCCAATAAGTGTCCCAATGCCGGTTCAGCATAAGTTCAGCAACTCACAGGCCTATTCCCATAATTAGTTCTCTATTAACACCAACAACTTGAAAATATTGTAGTTAATATACTTTTTATCTAAGGTCTAAGGTTGAGATGAAAAGGCGTCACAAGCAGGTTTCGAACCCATGATCTTTGACTTAATAGACTGCTGCTCTAACCACTTGAGCTGTCGTGACTTCGATCCGCCCAGACACCAACTCCCCATCACCTCCTTGAAAATATATTTACTGAGTTAAGATTACTTACTTACTAATTGCTGTCACATCCTTAGGGCAGGACCTGGACCTCCTCAATAAGTTTTTCCCATTTGTTTCAGTCTTCAGCCTTGAGGTGCCATCTCCTTACACCTTTCCGCCATAGACCCTCCTCCACATCATCCAACCACCTAAGCCGAGGGCTTCCTCATATTCTTGAACCACCTGGCTTCCCATAGAGGAGTTTCCTTGGAAGCCTATCTTGAGGCATCCTGTCCACATGACCCAACCAACCATCTATATCCAGCTCGCCAAATAGTTGCTTGAATTCATCATTCTTGCGTACTTTCCATTCACTGTTTACACACTTCAGGCTGAATATCTTTCTTAGCACTTTTCTTTCCCATACACCAAGAATCTTCTCAATTAATTTACTCAACACCCATGTTTTGCTAGCAAACATAACTAACTATTGGCCTTATAATCTCTTTGTGTTCTATAATCTTAGCCTTGCAAGATAGGTGCTTGAACCGCAGTGCCTTTTGTACTGCAAACATCTATTTCCTGCCACTATTCTTGCTTTAGATTATTATTCTTTGTTACTAAGGACCCTAGATATTTAAAATTACTAACTACTGGGAAACTATGATATCCAAATTGAACTGATCATTCTCCATATCCATGGGTTCTCGAGTGCTCATATACTTAGTTTTACTCTCGTTAATTTTCAGACCGGGCTTCTTGCAGTTCCTGATGTGCTCCTCTAAGTGCGGCCTTAGATTATGAGATTAAGATTACTATTGTGACCAAAACCCTCAATTGTGCTTCATTATTGCCTTATCAGGTTGATTTTTTTTAAGTCCCTATAGAGATTCCTCTTTGCTTATGTTAAGCATGGTTTTCTTTGCAGTATTTGTATTTTTAGAAAAGAGAGGATAGTCATTGAATTTTCTGTATAATGTAGGTAGAACATGTTCCCTTCATGCATGCCTCTTTTTTTATCGTTCTTTTGGCCCATACTATGACAGCATAGCAAGGATTGGTGGATACTATGCAAGGGGCAAAAAACAACTCCTGGAAGGCCTTCAGCATAGAAAATAAGGGTGTAATTGAACAGGCTAAAAGCTTAAAAAAACTTCTTCTAAAAGGACATTTTCATGAGTGTCTGGCACCATCTATAATTTGGTGTATGAAGCTGAACAGAATGGGTGGGGACGTGCTGCTTCATGGTTCCAACAGGAGAGGCAGCACAAGAGAGCATCCCTCCCTTCTTGATTATATATTAGGGAGTACTATCCTCGCTACCAAAAACCTCCCCTACCCATAACACTCCCCTCTCGCTGTTTTATGCCTTTCTCCCTTTAATCTTCAGTTCCAAACGTCATGTGAGTGGGAATCCTGTGCATCTAGGGATGGAAGGCAGTTTGTACCGTTCAGGGTGGAAATTTTGGTGGCACATTGAGAAATTTTACAGCCTGGAGGCTCCCTAAGCTTCACTGGTACAGTCAGCTAGAAACGCTTTCCACATAAAAATGTTGTAAAAATTAAAACATCACATAATAAGGTTTTTGCAGTTAAATATTTCTTGCTGATTATTTATTTGATGAGTTTTTTAAATATTCGACCGGCTTATGCATAAGAATAAAAAAATGGCTTCGAAGCAAGGCAAGTCTGCTGCCACCCTGCAGGACAGCTCCCCTGACCTGAGTCTAAAGCTCCGGAGGGGCTCCAGCGATTCGAGGGACAGCTTTTATATGGATTTTGCTCAGGGCATCGACTCGGACATAGAAGAAGTCGCAGCCACCACCTCCGGCTTCATCCATCAAGACATAACGGATGATGCTTCGACACCGACTGCAGCAACTGTCAAGGAAGATGGGCTTTGGTAAGCGATTAAGTTGTCACTTGCTGATATTTAGCCGAGCCGGCTTCAAATTGATGGCTTCCCTATTAAAGGGAATTTAATACCAATTATAAATTAATTCCTGTCATATTAAATTGAAGCACTTTACTTTTATTATTTTTTTTAAAACAATTTTTTGTTAAATATTCTGTTAAATCTAGCATGCAATTGACATTATTACAAAAATTCATATTGATTTGTACTTGACAAGAGGACTTTTAAGTCAAGTCATTGAACATGAAGCACCCTCAGACCTTTCTTTCTATTTACATATAGAAGTAATTTGATATGTACCTACTTGCAGTCGCATAATTTTAATTAAAATAATTAAATTTAAAAAAACTTTAAAACAATTCAATTAAATTCCAGTCAAACTTGCATATTTTGTATGGAAATTTATTGTTCAGAATAATTTTGTTTTTAAAATTTGAAAATTTTATTTTATGGATAACATAAATTGGTTGATTTGTTCTATTTTTAAATGTATAGAAGACATTTTAGAACAAAATTTCAAAATTTTAACATAAAATCTTGTCTTCAAATTGCATGTGCTATGAGTTTTTCGATTTTGTAAACTTGTAAAAGTATTTATTTGCGAGAATGGTTGGCCGTTTAACCCAAGGCTAAATAATGCACTTTATAATACACACTACATCTAGATGTAACAAACACTCAATAACTTCATGGAAAGAATTTGAAAATAAAATTTTAATAATTTTTGCTAGGTAAGGCATTTTAGGGCAAAATTGTAAGATTTTAACTTAGGAAATTTTTTTTTGTCTTCGAATAGCCGTATTGGAGATTTCTATTTTACACATTGGCTGGTTAAAAGTATTTATTTGCGCGAACTATTGATCGTTCTAAGCCCAAGGATAAATAACGAACTTTCGACTACATATAGATGTACCAAACACTGGAAAATTTTAGTTATGCTCGAATTTTAAAATACAAAACACCTAAAAAGTATTTTTAATACGAAGTTCCTTATGGGGAGTATGTAAATTATTTGGTTCATTCTATCTATTTAATTTCTATTCTAATTTATAGATGGCATTTTAGAACAAAATTGTAAGATTTTAACTTGTTAGTTTTCTTGTCTTCTGTCAAATGATTTGATATATGTATATATATATATTTAATTTTGGCCGGTTTAGAGTATTTATTTGCTCGAATGGTCGCCCTTTAATAGCCCCGAGGATAAGTAACGAATTTTGGACTACATCTAGATATACCTAACACTGGAAAACTGTAAGGAAACAGTTTGATAATAAAATTTTTAGTTATGCTCGAATTTTAAAACACAAACACTATTAAAAAATATTTTCAACACGAAAATAAATTCACCGTTTTATTCAATCTTTAAAATTCAAAGAAGGAATATTAGTATACATTTAGAATTTTAGGTGCAAAGGCAAACGATATTTACGATCGTTAACCCCTGAAAATGTTTGAAAAGGGAAAATAAATAATTGAATCCATCAAAGAACGTGGTCAATTTTTTTAACTTTTAAAACTTGCACGCTTTCTTTTGTAATAAATGTGCCTTGTATTAATCGGTTTAAGCTTAACGCATGTTATTTGTTGAACTATTTAAAAACAAATGTATTGCATAAAAGTAGCGCGAATAGGTGATTAATGCCGTGAAAAACATGATATTGAAACTTCATGTTTTATTTTTTTTAAACAATGTTTTTGGTCTGGTTCGACCTCTTTGAAACCTGTAGGCATAGGAAGAACTATTTTTCTGTGTTCGTTACTAAAATGACCAATCATAATCTTACTAAAATATTGTAACTTCATTGATTGGAGCTGAACTTCTAGAATAAATAATGGATTCTGTGGCATATTAATGGAGAAATAAGCACGAAAGCTGCTTTGATGTATTTAATTTCTATTTAATTTCCCCTGGGAAAATACATAACAAATCGATTGATGTCAAAGAACGATTAAATTATATTTGCTCAGAAAGTCAGATGCTTGTGAAAAGTACAAGTCCTCTACGATAAGGCTAATCTAACTCTATCTTCAACTATCGCAGGCAATTGTAAAAAGATTTATACAATCAGTAATTTCTATTTTGGTCAAAACTGTATATTTTGGAGCTAACAGGTTGTTCAAACATATGACATTTTCAGTGATGTTCATGAAACCTACACAACGTAAAATATCCGATATTCCTATGATTCATACAAAGAAATTAGTCTAATACTTTCTATGCACACAACAATTAAAACAACTTACAATTTTTTCAAATTATTAAGATTATTTTAATTATAATTAAAGTAAATCACGTCTCTTTCATGCAATAGTGAACTTAAAATATTTATAAGTCTTGCTTGACGTTAGATATTATATTTTACTATAATTTTATACACCGACTTCATAAACTTAAGCCTGAAAGACAAAGTTGAAGAAATCCGTTCGATATTTAACATCGAACAGTATCCAATATTTAAATTTCCCCATAGAAATTTATATGGTCGTTTATATTTTAAATTTGTCGAGTGAACAGGGTAGAACTGCCTGAATATACTGTTACGTTCTCAATTCCATCCGAAAACTGAAATATGAAGATTAATAATTTTTTAATTTCCTGGCCCATTTAAACAATTTTTTAATTACGACTTGATTTTATTTTATAAATGATAACAACTTTATTATACCAATATTTATTCCAGAGCATTAACTATTCTTGTCCAAAGAAATATCTACTTGCTTTTAAAAACTTTCCGTTATGATCTCAGGCGGAGTACTTATCATCAAATTGTAATATACAACTAATTATTCAGAAATCGTGAGATGCGGTCTGGTGTGATGTAGGTTTCAGAAAAACATTTTCTTTATCGAGCCAACGTTTCGATATTTATTGAGATCATCTTCAGGGTCTGGGATTTACAAACATTGTTTACATTTAACAAATACATTTAGGATGTGGAAAAGTAAATTTATACAATGCAAAATATATTTTTTTTTATTCAATCAAAGTATTTCTACTCACTCAAAGACAAACACTTTGAGTGAGTAGAAATACTTCGATTGAATATAAAAAAATATATTTTGCATTGTATAAATTCACTTTTCCACATCCTAAATGTATTTGTTAAATGTAAACAATGTTTGTAAATCCCAGACCCTGAAGATGACCTCAATAAATATCGAAACGTTGGCTCGATAAAGAAAATGTTTTTCTGAAACCTACATCACACCAGACCGCATCTCACGATTTCTGAATAATTATCGATTAACGGTCACTAATCACCACAAACACACGCTTAATATACAACATTCAGATTATATAATTTTTTGTAATATTTTGTCTACTTGAAAGACTGAATGCGGTTTTATAAACGTTTTTCCTTTTAATAAAATTATTTCAATCGTTCGTGTTAAAAAAAATAATAATGATGTGATTACTGAAGATGTAATGAACTCGAAATATTCTTCTAGAAGGGAGAAATTCCCGGACCCTGTTGCAGTCCAGCAAATTGGAAAAGAAGTGATAAGCTTTAATTGGTACTCTGACTATGTTTAATTAGTCGGATTAAGTTTGTCGGAACTCTAAAAGATCCCGTCCTAGTTTAAATCAAAGCCCATAACAGAATAGACCTAGTTTAATCGGACCATTTTTATCTTTATTTTTTTATTTTGTAAATAAGTATCAGTAATACGCGTTTAAAAAGATCAGAAGCCAAAATAAAAAGGCCATTGTTAAACAAAACGCTAGGTTATATTGAAAAATTATGTTAAATCAATTTAATATTATTCATAAGAAAATATATTAAATAATTTATAACCTTAATAATTGTGAGATTTCATCTTAGTCCCGAGGGGTGATGAACCTGAAATTATTTCGTTTCCGATCATTTAGCAATTGTCGAAATCGATCAAACTTATGACAGTCAATTAAATTAAATTTAACTAGCAAGTTTTAAGATTATTTCTTTTTGTCTCGAGATAAGGTTTTTTTGCTATAGGTTCCATAAATTTCATTGTGCATCTTTATTAATAAATATCGGATCCTATCTGTACTTTTTTCTTATCTATCAATCACGTTCAAAAATGAAAATATATGAGATTTGCTGTGGTGATTTTTGTATATTGTTCAACATAATCTGTCTTAATCAGATTTAAGTAAAAGATTATGGTCGTGGATCAGTTGGACAGAACATATTCTGACAGAAAGATTTAATAAACAAAATTAATAAAAATAATTAATATTAATATAATTAATAAACAAAAAGTATATAAATTATTGCTTTATGCAAAGAGGAAATTAATTGTGCTAAAACCAATTTACATAATTATTTATTATCGTTAGTATTAAATTAACTAAACTTTTTTAAAATAACGAAACCTTTCTAATTTAGTTAGTAAAAAATTCTTTAAATTTAAATTAATGCTTGGTTTGATTTTGTCCTTAGAGATAGTGTCCCTGGGAAGAAAAGAATAGATTAGATTTTCCCAGGGGGTAAATAAATAGAAACTGGTTCCAGTCGACACAAATCTTATCAGAAATACTCGGTTGGACTTCATTATTTTGCGTGTCGGACTCATTATCATTGCGTGCCCTACACACTTTGATTCTATAATTACATAGGAAGGAGAGAGAGGAAGAAAAATTTTCCCCCCTCATGCTAACTTCACACCACCGCCCGCCTATGTTATTATTATGTTATTAAGGATTTCTTAATTCGTTAACAAAGAGGGACGGTTAACAATGCGAGGGTGGTGTGTTCACTATTACAAGTTATAAGCCAGCCCCCCTAATTTTTTTGTGCTTCTCACGTGTTCCAAGGCCCAAATGGTATCCATGAATGGTTGCCGACCTTTGCTCTTTTGGGCTTTATAAATACATATTAGAACATTAAATAAGCCGTCTTGCATTTTAAGCTTTAGTCGGTTATTAATTACGCTTTTAAAATACGTTTTTACTCTGGAAGAGGTAGATTTTATTTTGATCACATCTGGTAAACAAATTTGAA